GCCTGAGTACTATGATGTTCTGTTGACCAACATACATAGAACATATATAGAACACACATAGAACATACATAGAACATACATAGAACATACTTAGAACACACATAGAACATACATAGAGCACACATAGAGCACACATAGAACGACTACATATTCAGGAAGCGAAATGTAGACATTGTCAAACATCTCTCTCTGGGAACAGAAGCATATAACAGACGATGACCAACAGGTGGTGCCAAGGACTGGATTCATCTTTCTGAAATGCTGCACTTCTAACGTCCTTGAGATAGTCACGTCGGTTGAATGGAATGGATAACTGTTTCATTATCGAGTGTGTTCATCGTGTGTGTTACGTCTATACACCTGTAACCGCCACGTGGCCGGATCACAGCATTTCTGCAAATAAACGCTATCGGCACATGCCTTGTTCAACCATGAATCCAATGTTTTGAATCCATTGGAACATTCTTGAACGTCGGCTGCAGGCAATGGTTCCCCTAGCGTGGAATCTGGCAGATTTAGCAACTGCATTTTATCGTGACTGGGATTGTAGGTTCGAATCCCGGTTCGCCCCGATTATGTTTCTAGGTTTGTCAGCACCATACCCGTGCTCGAGGATTTCACCGAAGTGGTAAACGTCTGTGACCTGCATCACTTCGGGCTTTCCTCCCACATTAAGCTGACACGCCGTGATATGACTGGAATACTGTAAAAACCGGCGTTAAACCCAACTCACTCACTCACTCATCGTGACTGGAAGCAGTTACCCCTTGATCGTATCAGAAGACACACTCAGGGAATTAGATCACACATAGTCTCTGAAAATATATTAACATTTTGATAGAAACAAACAGCTACATATTGAACCTGTCGATGGTCCAAAGTTGCTGCATGTTGAGCTATTGCATTGCAGAATGGGGTGGTCTGATCAGAAGAGAATATGGTTCAGGGACTGTGTGACAGACTACGGGGGAATGAGGAGGAAGGTAGGGGCTGTCATCCGGTCACCTGGCGGTTACAGTCGCTACTGTGTTTAATGATTTGGATTGTCTTTATGGGATTACAATGAACGTTTTCGAACAGCAATGGTATTTATACCCGATCAACAACCTTCCCGATCTAGCTATCGTATATATGATAATATACGATAGTAAAAAACGATGACGAACGAAGCGTGGTTTATTACACGATAAAACATTGTTCTCTCATGACGTCATTTCTGGAGATTCGAACATGCGCTCGCAACTTGATGACGTCGTAAATTCTATGACGTAATTTAGCTGGCACTGGGCGAACGGTCGCATTCAAAAGTGGGCGATATGACAATCTCTTTTGGACAGGAAAATTTGGAGAATATTTGGGAAATACCAAACGTAACCCCCCTGTTTATAAAATTGTCTTCTCCGACACTTCTCCGGTTTGACTAGGCAGTGCTTCCTGGGAGAAGTCACATTCGCTGTCTGGGCTGCGTGTAGAGGGGGCAAGGGCCCTGAGCTGATGATGAGTCTAACCAGCCTGACTGTGCCAGGATCACCAAAACCCTCTTTGCCGCATTTTTTATTTTAATCTGTAAATGCTACTACTACTACTACTACTACTACTACTACTACTACTACTACTACTACTACTACTACTAATACTTGTACTTGCATGTACACCTTCACCTTATCATACCGCGTACGCATGAATAGCAGGATGAACAGCCGCGGAAGAAAGCAAAGGAAATATAAGATTGAAGCAATTCCATTTGTTTCAGAAGTACCAGACCTTTTCGGGGACGTGGGGTGACCCACACTGTTCAATCCGCCATGTGCGTTATTTGTTAACATGCTAGCACTTTGTTGATGATAAAATGGTCGAGAAACGAAACTTATTTTGCGTTTATGTAACCATTTACGTCGAAAATACTGAAGATACTGTTTCTCGTTTGTGTCAAAATGTTGTGAAATCGATCCTTTCGCTTTCTGCTCAACTGTAGGGTATGACCAGATTTTAAATATGTCATTGTGTAAGTCTCCATACTACTGAGTATGTTCCTTTGACTTATTTACCTGTGACTGTAGGCTTTCGTATTCCACCACGTCTCCCGACTCTACACTCAACTGTGGGAAATCACCATTGTGGGTCGCCTACATGTTAAGTTACACGACCCACTTACCTGACTTGTAATTTAGTATTTACATGGGTCGTCTCTATTATGGGTCTCACAATGGATATTCCGGGGTGGATGGAGTGGGCATATAATGTATTATTTTCAATTGATTCTTTAGCAGTTTGTTTTGGACAAATCATTTTCTGCAGAAGAAACACCAACAAAGCCAGCCCTTGGAAACACACACACACACACACGCACGCATTCAGGGACTGAAATGGCGACGTTTCGTTATAAATTCTTATACCGTTCTCGCTTGATAACGGCATAAGGATCTATACCGAAATGTCGCCATTACAGTAACATAACGAAGTTGTTACCTATCAATTATATCTACTTTGTCATCCAACTTCTTAGAAATGCCTATCAAACAATGTATTATGGTGTACTGACACATCACCGAACCAATGGTCATGTAGACAGTGATAGGTAATCCGGGGATTACGTGGAGCGTTGTGTGTCCAATGCAAGCACTGGGAGGTACTTGACACTATAGAAATTGGCGGTTTTTCCTAAACGGGTCAGTGGAGTCAGGCAGCGATATAGGTTTGGAATTAATATTACCCCGGCTACGTGCATATGCACTGGGGCTTGGGATTATTCACTGAACGAGTCATGCTTTTGGCACAAAATTATATTAATAAACCGCAAGGCCTAGGGGTATTCGGATATCTGCCACAAGAAACAATGCATGGAAACGCGTGAGTGAATGTTGTTTTTAACACCATCTGAAATATCTCGGCTATGTGACGGTGCGCTCCTGTAAAGCTTTGTAAATGATGATGAGTATCATTAGACAAACCAGTGGTTGATAACATAAGCAACGGCCAGAGCAACATACAGGAAACGCAATGCGATCACCCGATCCTCATTCTGGTCGGTTATTTCGACACGCATGAGACACTGGGAATGAACTTGAGGTTTAGGAAGACCTGAGCGGGAAGGTTTAATGTTGGGTTAGACTAGGGTTTAAGGGAGGCCGGAGCGGGAAGGCTTAATGTTGGGTTAGACTAGGGTTTAAGGGAGGCCGGAGCGGGAAGGCTTAATGTTGGGTTAGACTAGGGTTTAAGGGAGGCCGGAGCGGGGAGGTTTAATGTTGGGTTTGACTAGGATTTAAGGGAGGCCGGGGCGGGAAGGTTTAATGTTGGGTTAGACTAGGGTTTAAGGGAGGCCGGAGCGGGGAGGTTTAATGTTGGGTTTGACTAGGGTTTAAGGGAGGCCGGAGCGGGGAGGTTTAATGTTGGGTTTGACTAGGGTTTAAGGGAGGCCGGAGCGGGAAGGCTTAATGTTGGGTTAGACTAGGGTTTAAGGGAGGCCGGAGCGGGAAGGCTTAATGTTGGGTTAGACTAGGGTTTAAGGGAGGCCGGAGCGGGGAGGTTTAATGTTGGGTTAGGCTAGGGTTTAAGGGAGGCCGGAGCGGGGAGGTTTAATGTTGGGTTAGACTAGGATTTAAGGGAGGCCGGAGCAGGGAGGTTTAATGTTGGGTTAGACTAGGGTTTAAGGGAGGCCGGAGCGGGGAGGTTTAATGTTGGGTTAGGCTTGGGTTTAAGGGAGGCCGGAGCGGGGAGGTTTAATGTTGGGTTTGACTAGGGTTTAAGGGAGGCCGGAGCGGGGAGGTTTAATGTTGGGTTAGACTAGGGTTTAAGGGAGGCCGGAGCGGGGAGGTTTAATGTTGGGTTTGACTAGGGTTTAAGGGAGGCCGGAGCGGGGAGGTTTAATTTTGGGTTAGGCTAGGGTTTAAGGGAGGCCGGAGCGGGAAGGTTTAATGTTGGGTTAGACTAGGGTTTAAGGGAGGCCGGAGCGGGGAGGTTTAATGTTGGGTTAGACTAGGGTTTAAGGGACGCCGGAGCGGGGAGGTTTAATGTTGGGTTAGACTAGGGTTTAAGGGAGGCCGCAGCGGGAAGGTTTAATGTTGGGTTAGACTTGGGTTTAAGGGAGGCCGGAGCGGGGAGGTTTAATGTTGGGTTAAACTAGGGTTTAAGGGAGGCCGGAGCGGGGAGGTTTAATGTTGGGTTAGACTAGGATTTAAGGGAGGCCGGAGCAGGGAGGTTTAATGTTGGGTTAGACTAGGGTTTAAGGGAGGCCGGAGCGGGGAGGTTTAATGTTGGGTTAGACTTGGGTTTAAGGGAGGCCGCAGCGGGAAGGTTTAATGTTGGGTTAGACTTGGGTTTAAGGGAGGCCGGAGCGGGGAGGTTTAATGTTGGGTTAAACTAGGGTTTAAGGGAGGCCGGAGCGGGGAGGTTTAATGTTGGGTTAGACTAGGGTTTAAGGGAGGCCGGAGCGGGGAGGTTTAATGTTGGGTTAGGCTAGGGTTTAAGGGAGGCCGGAGCGGGGAGGTTTAATGTTGGGTTAGGCTAGGGTTTAAGGGAGGCCGGAGCGGGGAGGTTTAATGTTGGGTTAAACTAGGGTTTAAGGGAGGCCGGAGCGAAGAGGTTTAATGTTGGGTTAGACTAGGGTTTAAGGGAGGCCGGAGCGGGGAGGTTTAATGTTGGGTTAGGCTAGGGTTTAAGGGAGGCCGGAGCGGGGAGGTTTAATGTTGGGTTAGGCTAGGGTTTAAGGCAGGCCGGAGCGGGGAGGTTTACTGTTGGGTTAGACTAGGGTTTAAGGGAGGCCGGAGCAGGAAGGTTTAATGTTGGGTTAGACTAGGATTTAAGGGAGGCCGGAGCGGGGAGGTTTAATGTTGGGTTTGACTAGGGTTTAAGGGAGGCCGGAGCGGGGAGGTTTAATGACGGTTATGTAGGGGTTAAGACGGGCTGAAGTGAGGAGCTTAAACGTAGAGTTATGATATGGTTAATACATATCGGACTGCTTCCTGTAAAATAAGCAAAATGGCGGAGGCAACTTTCGAGAACCGGAACGTTTTATAAGGCGTTTGGGTTATTGCAGTATTTACGTTGTATAGAGCCTCAGTGGAAGCACAGTGTCGTTCGCCACGTCGTCTCTACAACGTGATCTGTCATCAGAACAATAACGTTCTGCATCAATGCTTTCATCACACCCAGTGTACTTCAACTCATCTGGGGCAGCAGGCCGCTACACGGCATAACATCGTCAACGGGGTGTGTGAGTGAACTGTCTATTGGCGTACATCCTATGTCTCAGGTTCCCAACAAGGAGGGATAAGCTGGACCAAAGGAGTACTGCTATATAAACAAAGTAAGTAGTTAACTTGTAACGAGATGTACAGGTGATCTGAAAACATCTCTGTCTTGAAATGTTTGAAAAAACGACTTGATGATTTCAATGTTGTGAGGGTTTCGATTGAAAACTAAATATATAGCTGCGGCTGATGCGTATAGTTCTCCTTGAGGAGGTTTCGACAAGTATACTAGTATATAATAGGGCTTGGGTATTTCCAGCGCAAACTGTCCCGAGGTTAAAGAAAAATATAAATTGTATGTCTTGAATTAGCGACAGGAAAAGCATGTTAAACTTGTTTCTGGAATACCGAATAGTAACTAGTCGGTTCTTGTATGTATGTTGATGGGGAATTAGCTCAAATTGAAGACGAAGAATAATTACTAATAGAAATAAGTTGAGTTGAAATTACCTCAAGTAAATTTATAATTACCCCACAACTACAAGTCCAGTACAGCAAACATGAGTATGTGGATGTACATACTGGAGCTTACAGTATAGGTGTAAACATATACATTATATACATGACATGTAGATATGGCAATGGACAACAATTGGCAAATGAAGAGTCAATGCCGTTGACAGGTACTTGGATGTGACATATGACATGATTACCGACACCACCCAGGTAAAGATTGATTAAGGCTATAACTATCATAATATGAATGACGATAGTGTTGGATAGCACTATTTACTACCGTTACACACATAGATTACAGTATGCATGAGAAGCAGTCTAGATTTCCACATCGTTTTATACGTGTATCTAAATACATTCTGCCAGGGCTTCTGTCAAACTATTCCGAATCAGACATTTTGTACCTATCTCTTGAGACCCACAGCAGGTACCCGGGTAGGGTCGGGTAATAGGGGTGTGGGTACCCGGGTAGGGTCGGGTAATAGGGGTGTGGGTACCCGGGTAGGGTCGGGTAATAGGGGTGTGGGTACCCGGGTAGTAAAATTGGCTCGTCCCAGCCCTAAATAATACTACTGTATATAAAGAGTCAACTTGTCACGTCAGTATTTTGTTACACAACAGCGCGATAGAGGACTGCCAGTATTCATTATATTGAGAAGGTTTCTGGTCATATGCTTATAAAACCGTAATGAATAAAAGGATGCACCGTGTACGGGTACGTGGACACTAAGGTCTGTTGTCATGTGAGATATGCAGCTATGGTGTTAGAATTGTTTGGTGTTGCACAACATGTATACACACAAAATCAACAGTTCGAAATCCAGTAGTCAAGGTTTCATTTCATCCGCTATTATCAATATTTTGCACGATAGTCCTTGTATTTAGGTTGATTGCACAGGTCTGTGTCACAGGTCTGGATCATTTTAGGTTTAAGGGTATTAAGGCTGTTTGGGTTGATCTATTTTCATGTCATTGTTTTTTGTGCCTTATCAATCAATTAATCATTCAATCATTCAATCATTCAATCAAGCATTCAATCAAGCATTAAATCAATCAACCAATCAATCAATCAATCACCAAACAACCAACCAACCAACCAACCAACCAAACAACCAACCAATCAATCAATCAATCAAACAAACAATCATCAGCAGACGCGCGGTATCCTCAGCAAATTCAATAATAGCACGTGCTGGGTCAATAACTGGGTCAGTTTTGGGACAGCTTCCGTGTTGATATTATTTACAATTGCGTTTGCTATTTCCTTTCCATAATGTTTCGGTTTCGGAGGGATGTTTGAACTTTTATTTTGCTTACCTGCAGTACTGACTATGGTTGTATTGCTACTATTTAAAGTGAGAAACATAATTGGACACTGGATATCTGAGTACATATGCATATGGGAAAATTCAGCAATATCAAATTCATAAAAACATGGAAGGCACATCCGTGAAGATAGGACATACTGAACTAAACTGGAATCTTAACAAGTAACTTTACGATTGTCTTCATCTATCCTAAGTCTTTGAATGACATTTAGAAGTGATACGTATAAAGAAGAGGGGCGGTCGGGTAGCCTAGTGGTTAAAGCGTTCGCTCGTCACGCCGAACACCCGGGTTCGATTCCCGACATGGGTACAATGTGTGAAGCCCATTTCTGGTGTCCCCCGCCGTGATATTGCTGGAATATTGCTAAAAGCGGCGTAAAACCATACTCACTCACTATAAAGAACAGCATAATTTTATATGGATGTCAACTTCTTTATTATGAGGAAACACAACGTTTCGGAGTATATGCATATTCCTTCATCAGGTGAATGAATGCTATGAGGCAGAGAGCATATATAATATACATATGCATCTTAGGACAACAAAAAGTAATATTAAAGATAATAAAAGGTGGAAACTAACACGGGAGGCCAACAGATAACTGCCGCTGATAGGTGATTAGCAAAAGACAATGGACGCCAACACTTTACAGTAATTAGCGCATCTGTGACCATTAAACAATTCTTAATGGATTCAAATTCTTAATGGGAAATGTCAAACTCAATTGTGATACGAATCTGGAGACTGTTTAATATTGACAAAACAGATCAAGTCCACGATTTACGACCATGAACGGCTGCCGAAATAAGTCAGTCGTGATCAGTAGAACTGAGTTGTTTTCCAAAATCGCAAAGTTTCAATTCGTTGTCATTGTCAGAGATGATAACCTACCAATGTAACCAGGGACGGCGTGGTCGGAAGTCTTGCATCCTCCTCCCAGAAAGAAGCGGCATGCTCGGTGTTGAACGTCTTCAGATGAAAATAAAGGTTGCGATTATGTCTTCCAATGCGTACGTTTGGATACTCATGTCATACGTCCCACAGGAAAGTTCTAGTTAGCTTAAGTTTTGTCCATACATGCAAAATGGCCGAAAGGCTTATGTGACGTATTGCCATCCGTCTTTGTATGGCGTACTTCAACCGTCATGCGAAATCTACACAATCCAATACGATTTATTCATGAAATATGTTGAAAGATAGCATGTATAGCTCACCTGGTACGAAGTTTCGCGGGGAGCTATGTCGTGGTGGTAAGTTTCAACCAAACTTGGCAGGAAGCTTCCACCAGGAGTGAAGAATAAAAAAAGCTGCAAATGGAGTGCCTGAGCGGGCTGAGTAGAGTTCAATTGATGAGAGGAAAAGGGGTGTTCTGCCACAGGTGCCCAAGTGCCAAGCTGAGAATTGCTCGCCAGCGTTCGCGATCGTGAGGACAGGTCGTTGACCAATGTCGGGGTAGCCTGTGTTATAAATAGATCAACGTTGAGGGCAATGTTGGAAACTTTTGAATGAGCCGGCTACAGTAGGCCTCAAGTGAAGCGTGTGATATAAATACCTGTAGTGAAGAAAGCTATTATTATTGATAGTGACTTCAGGCCCGTTGAAGGATGGAAGGAGTATTTGTCTGGTATTTATTTTAATCCAAAACTCCCAGTCTCCTTTCCTGGAACCACTAAACTCTATCATACTGTGAATAAGGAGGGAACATTTGATATCGGATTACATCGCAATGCCTATTCGCTTCAGAGGCCTTTGAAGCATAGGTTCAAGCGGAACTGAGTGGTGGCTAAAGGTTTGAATGCTCGATGGGATATTGGCTTAGTAGACGTGTCTAACATAACTTCGGATAAAGATAGTGTCAAGGACTTGTTAATAGCAATCAATATTTTTTCAAGATGTCTATGGGAGGGAGCCATGAAAAAAAGAATCCCGAATCTGTGGTCAAAGCCAAGAGGAACATATTTACAACAGCGCGTTTTGCCAAAGATCATCAAGTCGGATAAAGGCCGTGAATTTAATAACAACAAAGGTATCACCTTTTATGTCACCAAGAATGAAACAAAAGCGTCCTATGTTGAGCTTGTGATTCGTACCCTCAAGACAACCATGTACAGATAGTTCACATACGAGCAAACGTATCATTACATGCATGTACTACACGATCTGGTAATAAGTCTGCTGATAGTAAGTACAAAGGTACAGAAGAAGAGAAGAGGGCTGATCAGAAAGAAATCTTTGTCAAGTGGATGGGTTATCCTAAAAGGTTCAAAACGTATAAATAGTGTGGTCAAGACAGATGTACAGTGCATTTTATATTCAACCACTGATGTGTCAACATGTATATTTGCTACAAATGTTCCAAGCAGTGTGTCTGGCCTTACCGCCTGGTACGACATAGCCATGCAAAACATTCAGATGAAGATCAGCAAGTAACCAATAGCTGTCTGTCATCACCACCACCACCACCAACACCGAAGGAGCAGCAGCAGCAGCAGCAGCAGCAGCAGGTAAACAGTTATCTACCGCCACCGCAGCAGCAGCAAGTAAATAGTTATCTACCACCACCGCAGCAGCAGCAGCAGCAGGTAAACAGTTATCTACCACCACCACCACAGCAGCAGCAAGTAAATAGTTATCTACCACCACCGCAGCAGCAGCAACAGCAGGTAAACAGTTATCTACCACCAACGCAGCAGCAGCAACAGCAAGTAAACAGTTATCTACCACCAACGCAGCAGCAGCAACAGCAAGTAAACAGTTATCTACCACCACCGCAGCAGCAGCAGTAGCAAGTAAACAGTTATCTACCACTCCCGCAGCAGCAGCAGTAGCAAGTAAACAGTTATCTACCACCACCGCAGCAACAGCAGCAGCAAGTAAACAGTTATCTACCACCACCGCAGCAGCAGCAGTAGCAAGTAAACAGTTATCTACCACCACCGCAGCAACAGCAGTAGCAAGTAAACAGTTATCTACCACCACCGCAGCAGCAGCAGTAGCAAGTAAACAGTTATCTACCACCAACGCATCAGCAGCAACAGCAAGTAAACAGTTATCTACCACCACCGCAGCAGCAGCAGTAGCAAGTAAACAGTTATCTACCACCAACGCAGCAGCAGCAACAGCAAGTAAACAGTTATCTACCACCACCGCAGCAGCAGCAGTAGCAAGTAAACAGTTATCTACCACCACCGCAGCAACAGCAGCAAGTACACAATTATCTACCACTACCGCAGCAGCAGCAAGTAAACAGTTATCTACCACTACCGCAGCAGCAGCAAGTATATAGTTATCTACCGCAGCAGCAGCAGCAGCAGCAAATTAGCAACAGCTGTCCGCTGCCATCACTACAACCAGCGCCACAGGTACCACCACAAGTACCACAACAAACGGAACGAGAGACATTTAAGTATTCACTTCCATCAAATGCTGTCATTGTAGGGCCAATTGGATGTGACAAGACCATGTTGATGTACAATATACTCTTGAATGGATACATAAAACCAACACCCATCAACATCGTACGGTGTTATACCGAATGACAGCCAATGTATGAATCAGTCAGTAAACATTATCCTATCTGAAGTTTGTAAAAGGTATTTCCTATAATCTGCAAGATTGTTTTGATGCACGAATTAACAATGTGCTTATTCTTGATGATCATATGGCCGAGGCCAAGGATGACAAAGGCATCTCTCTACTGTTACAAAACCTCTTCCCCAGAGGCAGAGTCACGTGACATTGCCTTGAACTCCCATTACGACACTTATTCAGTTCACCTGTGGATCGACATCAAGTCAACTTATATGCCAGAAGAATATACCCCAATACCACCGATCGTTTTATGTCAGTCTATGAAGCTTCTGTCCACAAACCCTATGGAACCTTACCATTGACTTAAAACTAACTACCCCTGAAACTGAAACATTACATCCAAATATTCTGGAGGAGCATCAGCCTATAAAAGGGCAGCTAGTTCAGGAATCTTTTCAATTGGTCAACAACCTCCCACCTGTGCACATCGTCGCTAAGTCTAAGTGCACTCTAAGTCTAAGTAAAACTCTGTTAATAGACTATTCTATCAACGCACCACCATCTACCAATGGTCTGCTCCAATATGATTCGACCGGAAAGTCGCATCCGCTGATCAGGTATAGGTCCATGGGTGGGGGCATTGTGGTAGGGTTTCTATAACATATATACACACTGAACGATAAAATATATATACACACTGAACGATAAAATATATATACACACTGAACGATTAAATATATATACACACTGAACGATAAAATATATATACACATTGAACGATAAAATATATATACACATTGAACGATAAAATATATATACACATTGAACGATAAAATATATATACACATTGAACGATAAAATATATATACACACTGAACGATAAAATATATATACACATTGAACGATAAAATATATATACACATTGAACGATAAAATATATATACACACTGAACGATAAAATATATATACACACTGAACGATAAAATATATATACACATTGAACGATAAAATATATATACACATTGAATGATAAAATATATATACACATTGAACGATAAAATATATATACACATTGAACGATAAAATATATATACACACTGAACGATAAAATATATATACACATTGAACGATAAAATATATATACACATTGAACGATAAAATATATATACACATTGAACGATAAAATATATATACACATTGAACGATAAAATATATATACACACTGAACGATAAAATATATATACACACTGAACGATAAAATATATATACACACTGAACGATAAAATATATATACACGTTGAACGATAAAATATATATACACATTGAACGATAAAATATATATACACATTGAACGATAAAATATATATACGTGTAGGCTACCACTTGTGAGGATAAGTCACTTTAGTTCTTTTATGAGAGCTTCATTTAAGTTCTCTAATTTTTGGTTTGTCCTGGTTAATCATCCGGGTTATAGTCAGTGCATGGACAAGCACGTGGACGTAAGCAGAATGACATGAACTTGTGTAGGGTGTAAATGGCCCATAAAAATTTGTAAGTATTAACAATATATTTAAGGAACAACATGTAAATCATAACTAGCAATGCTATAACAAATGTAAATGGTGTAAAAGGGTAAATTGCATGTTGAGAAGGTTGAAGTGTGTATCACAGATGTTTCGTTTAAAATCCGGAAAATAATGTTGAAAATAACATAACATGTACTTACTACCTTAGTTACAAGTTGTAATATTTCCCATTTTGTTTTTTATTATAGCTTGTACCTGTCAACAATAGGCCTTACAATTAAAGGGCCAGTAAAGGAATTTGAAGGAAAGACATAATACAAAATATCTGTCAATGATTCAAGACTGAATCAAAAATGTATTCATCAATCTATGCTAAAGTTATAAAATAAACCATTCAAGACAGTGTACTGGATTATGTGTCAATGGCCAAAGCGTATCACCTACATAAAAGTACAAGAAATTTTTATACATAACAAAGAATGTTATCATCAGACATTAGAAGTGACACAGACAGCTGGATTGCTAGTGACAGAATGTCTAATGTAACAATAAATAAAGATGAAATTCAGAGTGAAAGGATAATTCAACTGAATAAAGAAAGAGCGGGTATCCAATCTGCATTCACCAGAACTGAAAATCAGATAAATGGTCTCATTGTAAATAAGAATGCTAGTCCTACAGACATTGAACATGTTGAAGGATCAGTGAAATCAATTGAGAAAATCTTTGACAGTTTGACACAGAAAGTAAATCAGCTGAAGGAGATAGTGCGAGATGATGCAGAAGAGATTAGTAAACTGGAAATGTACATGGATAAGATGTCAGATAGACTGAAAACAGTGATGTCTAGTATACAGATGTGGCATCATGATACAGTAAAACCAAGTGATTCAGCGAGTCAGGTAGGAAGCCATGCAAGTAGTGGAAGCACGAGATCGAAGATTGCAGCAAGGAGAGCTGCACTGAAAGTCAAACAATCTGCTCTGAAGAAGAGTCAGGAACTGAAGTTAAAGAAATTTGAACTTGAATTACAAGAAGAGACTCTTCAAATGGAGACTGAGCTTGCAGCTGCTGAAGCTGAAATAAAGGCAATCAATGAAATCGATGGACCCCCTTCTGTTAAAGATGATGGTAAACCATTCAAGACAGTGTACTGGATTATGTGTCAATGGCCAAAGCGTATCACCTACAATACGCATTGAACGATAATATATTTACACATTGAACGATAATATATATACACATTGAACGATAAAATATATATACACATTGAACGATAATATATATACACTTTGAACGATAAAATATATATACACATTGAACGATAAAATATACACATTGAACGTTAATATATATACACATTGAACGATAATATATATACACATTGAACGATAAAATATACACATTGAACGATAAAATATATAAACACATTGAACGATAAAATATATATACACATTGAACGATAATATATATACACATTGAACAATGATATTTATACACATTGAACGATAAAATATACACATTGAACGATAAAATATATATACACATTGAACGATAATATATATATACACATTGAACGATAATATATATATACACATTGAACAATAAAATATATATACACAATGAACGATAAAATATACACATTGAACGATAAAATATATATACACATTGAATGATAAAATATATATACACATTGAACGATAACATATATATACACATTGAACGATAATATATATACACATTGAACGATAATATATATACACATTGAACGATAAAATATATATACACATTGAACGATAAAATATATTTACACATTGAACGATAAAATATATTTACACATTGAACGATAAAGTATATATACACATTGAACGATAATATATATACACATTGAACGATAATATATATACACATTGAACGATAAAATATATATACACATTGAACGATAAAATATATATACACATTGAACGATAAAATATATATACACATTGAACGATAATATATATACACATTGAACGATAAAATATACACACTGAACGATAATATATATACACATTGAACGATAAAATATATATACACATTGAACGATAAAATATATATACACATTGAACGATAAAATATATATACACATTGAACGATAAAATGTATATACATTGAACGAAATCGGACAATAACTACATTTCAATCAACCAACTTTCCGTTGCTATGGCATTAGGGTAGTAACGGAGAAGAGGTTGCCATGCAGAGTATCGTAAAATAACCTTTGTACTGCAGTAAGTTCGATAGAAATCTGTTAAATCGGTCAGGGGTCATAAACCCTTTTAATTAACCTGCATATAGCAACCAGGTTGTAGAGAGGGATGGTTAGTCATTTGCACATCTACACAAAGTAACGATCAATTAAATCTGTGACATTTCATGAATTTTCGATAAATGTTATTTCATGGTGAAAATCCTAAATGTAAAATACTCGTATAAATATTGTCTGTCACTTCAACTCTTAATGTAAACATTTTTTACATTAAGGGTAATTTTTACATTACATTTACATTTTACATTTTGACAAGGGATAACCCGCAACCCTTAATGTATTATTTTCACATTGAGAGTAATTTTTACGTTAAGGGTCGTAACATTGCATGCGTTATCCTGGGCCTTATGATAAACCTTTAGCTTGGTCGTATTTCTCTGGCCGGCGTTCACATCCGCCTCATGTCTTAACACTGATGTCCTCGCACCTGTAGGTCGACACGGCGTGAACACCCAGGAAGAAAACACGCGGAATCAGTGGCAACCTGTTCAATAACAGTTTATGACGAGGATAACTGATGAATGTGTTCACGCACAGCTGAGACCCATTTACAAGTGTAAACTAAAACATCATCATCGTCATCATCATCATCATCGTCATCATCATCGTCGTCATCATCATCATCATCATCACCATCATCATCATCATCACTACCACCACCACCACTACCATCATCATCATCATCATCGTCATCATCATCATCATCATCAGCATCATCATCATCACTACCACCAACACCAACACCACTACCATCATCATCGTCATCATCATCATCGTCATCATCATCATCATCACCATCATCATCATCATCACTACCACCACCACCACTACCATCATCATCATCGTCATCATCATCGTCATCATCATCATCATCACCACCACCACTACCATCATCATCATCATCATCATCATCCGCATCGATATCACAATTGTCATCATCGTCATTCTTATACTTATATAAGCTGAAATGACACGTGAAATGGGCCTGTTTGGGGGCACTACGATATGCATCAATTGGCTATTTCCTTTACAATCTATTGATTGTATGACCTTACGTGAGGCATGAACTACTGATGTATCTCACAACTCTCGCCAAATCCATGGCAACCGGTAATAAGGGCACTGTTAATGTCCTCAAAATAATTATTGATTAAACATACCGTACTATATTTGTCGCGAGGTATCAACACGACATCAGTAAGAACGATTCGGTTGCCACAACCTCCTGACAAACCGCCGGACTGTTTACATTGTTGAAACAGGTATGCTACATGTACTTGTGGTCTTGTGTAAAGCGACACTGGTTTATAGTACGAGCTAGTAGGTTCAGTTCACGATCGTGTTAGCAAATGAAAACCGACGGTTCTTGTATTTTGTATTTTATATCTTGACAATCGAAGGAGAAACTTTACCGACAGCCTTGTTGTGATCACCACACCGAATACTTTGATTGATATTTATTGTTTCCCTTTAGGAGCACTGTCTTGATGTCGACTGACTGTTCAGTAATAGGATGTACAGTCACCACTTCATGAATGCAGTTACGAAGATTCATAATGATCACGGCTATAACATTCAAGGATTCTGGTGTCCCCCGCCGTGATATAGCTGGAATATTGCTAAAAGCGGCGTAAAACCATCCTCACCCACATACTCACTCACTCACTCAAGGCATCAGTAAAGCTTTCAAAACGTTTTGTGGTAGACAAGCATGTGTAGGACATTTGCAAACTTGACGATCAGTGACAACAATGATGTCCGATGCAATTCCCTATTTTGACTTGTACCGCATGTTTCCATGTTTTTTAAGGTGAACAATTGACTTGCCTTTGCATGTTTTTGTGATCGGTGCCACAGGTGGGACAGGGTATCGGAATCGTACAATCGACTCTGATTTTAGCAAATATTTCTTATGAATATGTAAGGGTTTGTCGCTTTTATTCACACATTCTTTCCATTTTAGGAATAGAACCACGACCGTCCGCGTGACGAGCGAAAGCTTTAACTACTAGGCTACCCCATCCCCCCTTATCCCAATAGAGCTGTATAATTTTTTTCCATTTTCGTCATACATAAATTGACATGTACGTATTTCAGCGTCTGTGATTTACCTCCGCCAGTTCCTGCCTTGTCTGATCATCGCCCAGTACCATGACGGTGTCCTGTGGTCAGAGGTTCAAGGACGAGTTCCAAGTTCGGAACTTTCTACTGGGCTATGACTACCCGGGAACGTTCGCAAGGTCAGAGGTAGGTTTCCATAGTAACAGCAATTTTTCAACTGCATAAACATCGTTAATTGAATTTGAGTGAGTGAGGTGGGTTTAACGCCGCTTTTTTTAACAGTATTCCAGTTATATCGCGGCTTGTCAGCTTAATGTGGGAGGAAAGCCCGAAGTGATGCAGGTCTCAGACGTTTACCACTTCGGTGAAACCCACGAGCACGGGTATGGTGCTGACAAACTTAGAAACATAATCGGGGCGAACCGGGATTCGAAACCACAATCAAAGGTTTCTGGCGTGTCCAAGGGACGCAACTCTGCACAGCGAATCGCGGCGCCTTAGACGACTGGGCCACCCGTGCCCCCTAATCGAGTTTGAGGCTTAACGTTTATTCTACCCTGACATTTCAGAATCCTGCTTTCTGATTGGTTGGCTCATCGGTTAGACCATGATTGCGTTGACGGTTTCATCATCGAGAAAGAAAGGATCTGTTTGGAAGCTCTTTTTCCTAACACACGATCGCTAGGTTCTTTCAAATAATGATTCAAACGGTTCTATATATCGTGATGTGGATCCTACAATATTACCAGCAAATGTGGTCCTACATTTGAACAGAACGTCCGACGAACAAAAGAAACAAATAAAGACAAAAGGGTAAAAGAAAATATCGGAGCCCACAAAATGTTTTTCAGTCAAAATCCCTGATGTCGGTGAATGGAATGCATCTCCAGTTTTTTAAATAAATAATTAAATAAATGAATGTCGTTTTTCCGAGGCCGGTGAATCATGTTTTGCATGCATCAACCCTAGTCTAGCTTAGTAAATTTATGTTTTCCAAATCCGGGGCCTTGCAATTATGCGATCGGCGAATGAAATTTATTGATCCTACGTTCGAGAAAATCAACAGTTTAAATGTTTTATCTTTCTTAAAAATATTACTACATTACGTTAACTTAAGACAAGCGTAATGGAAATATTGCATTATGAATTGGTATCATATTGCACATATTTCCAATCACGCTGTGAAGAAAACATACAAAAAACACAATATCTATATAATAGACAATATTCCTTGATGGCACGATGTCAACATGACGTCATAGTGTGTCCTAAATACATCCTATCTCGGGTATGACGTCATCTCACGAAAGAGTTGTACATTTATACCACGTATTAGACAATATTGCCCCGTGAAATATGGCATCGATTAGGGCCCGGTGATGGCTCTGATTCCAAGACATATAACTTTACATGAGTAAACATGGACTGTGGCAAAACAAAGTGATCACATGTTCTACAAATAATGGACCGCCCCCGTGGTCTTGTGGTAGAGCGTCCGCCCAGATAGCGGAAGGTCCGGGGTTCTATCCCCGGCCGCGTCAAACACGTGAAAAGATGGTACTTGTTGTTACCCTGTCTGGCGTTTGGCATTAAGGGGCTAACACAAGGACTTGTCGGCTCGGAGTCAGTATACTGTGTCTGAGTGCGGGGGTATTTATGTTAAACTGCGGCATGGTATTTCAGTGGGCTAGCACTATAAATCGGCATCAGTCCGGACTAGTACGAGCATACACACATGCACGTCGCTATATAAGTGAAATAATCTTGAGCGCTACGTTAACCCCATTTCATCTCACCTAAAAGCGACATAAAACACAATTCATTCTCTCACTGATTACTTTCAGTGGAAACGTGGCCCCTCTGTGCTGTACCTGGTCTGGAGGGCTATATGGTTCCTCTACCACGTGGCAATATTCGGTCTGAGGGCCTACCTGACTCGATTTCTCGCCAGCAGCGTTCAGAACCAGCCAAAATTTCTCATTTTCCTGACCACGTGGGCCTACATGCTACTTGTGGTGACCAACACCGTCGACTTCATCATCAGTTTGTACTACTTCATCACCAGCAGGAAGGAACTCCGAGGTAAACTGCCGGGCAAAAGAAAGTATACACCCATGTTTGATGTTGGCGATAAATGAAACAAACAAGAAATGACTAATCCACGGTGATGCAACGCCCTTTTATCCGTAGATTTTCAAGCATTGTTAAGAAATGACTTTTGCAACTAAAATTTCGTATATGCACTTGATTCCTTTTTAAGCATCTGGGGCAACACGTGGTACATGAGAATCAAGTTATTTTATGTAAATATTTGTTATAGTATGGTAATATGGTAATATGGTAATATAATACAAAAATAACCTCCATCCCCAGTGTGAGAATTTTGAATTCTCATGGCTACCATTGTCATTCATGACAACACATATGGTACGACATTCACATGTCCTGCTTCACGGGATTACACTGACGTTATGTAGGCACGTATACCGTAAGCGGTACCGTTAAATACCCTTGACTTTTAATATTTGAACTCGTCAGGACAGTAGGTACAAGTCAGCTTATGGATAGTGAGTCCATCCTCCACCTCAGTTGGAGGTAGTCCAGCGTCATAACATGACCAAACCCAACTCTCGCTCTCTCGGTTACCGTAATGGTAGAGCGTCTGCCTGTGGAGCGGAAGGTCGGGGTTCGATCCCCGGCAGCGTCATACCAAAATAAGTAAACAGATGGTATTTTATGTTGCCCCGCCTGACTCTCGGGATTAAGGGGGCAAAACAACGATTGGTCAGCATGCTATCTCAATGCGCCAGCACTATAAAACACCGCATTATTCCGGTTGGTACAAACACACACGTGCATGCACGTCGATATATAAGTGCAATAATCTTGAACGCGACGTTAAACCTCATTTCACCTCACCTCACTCTCAGTCATTCAATGCGCTGATGTTTCTTCTATACATTTACGCAGTAAATTTAACTACTGATTCTGTCATCTTGTGTAACAGTTCCTTGTTTGTATTTATTGAGCAGGAATGAAAGGGGTTAATCCGTGGTACAACAAAGTATTGTGGGTACTGTCCAACCTGACCAACACCTCGGCGTTTGTGGTCAGCCTGATGTACTGGGTGCTGATCTACGACAGTGAGTATACCACACTGTTACGTCAAATCACAACACTGTTAAGTCCTACACCCTCAGGGCAAAGGTATATAGTGTATACCATCTCGACACTGTTAAGTCAAGTCCTACACCCTCAGTGCAAAGGTATACAGTGTATATAATCTCCACACTGTTAAGTCAAGTCCTACACCCTCAGTGATAAGGTATACAGTGCATACCACCTCCACACTGTAAAGTCAAGTCCTATATCCTCAGGGATAAAGTATACAGTGTATATCATCTCCACACTGTTAAGTCAAGTCCTATATCCTCAGTGCAAAGGTATACAGTGTATATCATCTCCACACTGTTAAGTCAAGTTCTATATCCTCAGGGCAAAGGTACACAGTGTATACCATCTCCACACTGTTAAGTTAAGTTACACCCTAAGGAATAAGGTATACAGTGTATACCATCTCCACACTGTTAAGTCAAGTCCTACACCCTCAGTGCAAAGGTATATAGTGTATATAATCTCCACACTGTTAAGTCAAGTCCTATATCCTCAGTGATAAGGGATACAGTGTATATCATCTCCACACTGTTAAGTCAAGTCCTACATCCGCAGCGCAAAGATATACAGTGTATACCATATCCACACTGTTAAGTCAAGTCCTCCATCCTCAGTGATAAGGGATACAGTGCATTCTATCTTCCCACTGTTAAGTCAAGTCCTACATTCGCAGCGCAAAGATATACAGTGTATACCATCACTACACTACTGAGCTTAATTCCTACATCCTCAGACTTTGGCAGCGCTGCAATTTGCTGTGCAGAGTTGCGGCCCTTACGCATGGATTCTCCTTGAATATGTTTCTGTGTTTGTCAGGACTAACTCATCAGCCTCAGGTAACGACAAGCATGGGGTACTGGGAACCTATTATAGTCCGGAATATCCAAGGGGGCTAATTCTATCCCAGTTTCTTGACAGAGTTGAGAGCAAGTTAAATGGAAAACTTGTTTTAACAGAATTTGAGGATTTTACTTCTATACCTTGAATTATATATTCCACTGTCGTTTCTATAATATACTACTCAAAAGATGTTAATGAACACCCGGTCCCTTCATATTACTATAGTTAATATTCTGCGTGATATTGTACTCAAGAGAAGTTAAAGAACACCCGATATGCTTATGTGACTATAGTTAATGTGCATAAAACAATGCAACATGGCCATAATAAATGACTATATGATAAGGAGTTCAATGACTTTTCAAGTCAAGTATGTTCGTGAACCGTTGATTGATGTGAATCATATCTTGACAACTCTAGTCCTAACTGGACACATGTTTGGACATAACCCTATACGTCAGTCGTCAGTTTCACCAGTCGCAATGTCTCCTGCTGAGTGTTAGTTGATGTCTGTCCATATTGGAATAATATCATCAACTTAAAGAAAGAAGCGAACATAACGAGTTTCTTCGCCTGTAGATAGACAATGTACGTGTGCAGTTGTGGACAAAGAACTGATGTGGACGGGGTTTTGTGTGGTTCCGAGGTGGGCGGTGATGACAATCAGGATTCAGCTAAAAGGTTTAATGGCCTCTTTAAAGCCCTTTATACAGAGGCCATTATTCCTTTGGCAGTATCGGAGAATGGTCATTGAGAATATACCAAATATAGACATTGTTATCGGCTTCAGAGTGAGTGCTCTCACTCTAGACTGCTTGTGCATTAAGGTTCCGGAAAACACAAATACTGTTCTTCGCCATGTCACACACCTATGGTAAAAGGTTTGATGAAAATAAAATCCTTTCCGCACTGCTAATTTCATTAAAAGCATACGAAACTGCTCGTTCTAATTTCCGGAATGACAAGATTGCTACAAATGCTAATGTCGGTTTCCGTTCATTATAGAATCGGAGCATATACGTGTTTGTTATCCTCCTTTATCCAGTGTAATATATCTCCCCTCTGTTATGATAAATACCCTGGACTCATTCGTCTCCATAGCATCGTTTTGAGTCCGATTCGTATTGCACGACGCTAAAAATAGCCGTCCAATAGATTTAAGACCCGTGAAGATCCGGGGTAGAATAGGTCTTCAGCAACCCATGCTTGCCGTAAAAGGCGACTATGCTTGCCGTAAGAGGCGACTAACGGGATGGGGTGGTCAGGCTCAATGACTTGGTTGATGCATGTCATCGTATCCCCATTGCGTGGATCGAAGCTCATGATGTCAATCACTGGATTGTCTGGTCCAGACTCGATTATTTACAGACCGCCGTCATATAGCTGGAATATTGATGAGTGCGGCGTTTAACAACAAACCAACAAACCAACCAATAAATTTGCTCTCCTGAGCGAGTGGGGAACCATGTGAAAAGTTCGAGAATGGAGCGATGAAGGTGGTGTCGTCACTTCCGAAACTATAAACAATGGTGGCGACTTGGTCAGGAGTATGTATCATAATGGAGATATAATATCCTGGGTTATCAAGTATGGTATCATTTTTTTATTTAACCAAATAACAACCCCAGTAATACTTTATTCCCAGATGCCAAGGGTTTCCAAGGTTACGATTACATCAGCGTGTTCACCCACGGCGCCAACCTCATCTACGTCGTGCTCAACCTCCTGGTGACGGCTGTGCCGGTGCGGCTGCTGCATTTCTACCAGGCATTTATTTTAGCCATTATTTACGGCATCTTCAGCGCCACCTACGTATTGGCAGGTGGCACCAATGATGCCGACGAGCCCTACATCTACAGCGTCCAAAATTGGAGGAACAGCCCAGGTATCAGCGCGGGGTTGTCCGTCGGTGCCGCTCTTGCCGCTATCTTCTTACATTGGTTTGTGTACTTCATACACTTGTTCAGGGTATGTGTTGCGCAGGCATGTACCCAGAATGCATCAGTCGCAGATCTGAATGTCTAGATGGGTTGTGAAGTTCACATTCTCGGAAAAAATGTCAATTCTACTGTGATATTAGAGATGTCTAGTTAACCACCACACATTCATGGAAGTTTTAAATAAGCAATCTGTAGCAGGGTAATTTTGTATAAAAATAAACTGGTTCAATGATGACTGGGGTAAGAAATGAATTAATTTTGCAATTGCATGACCCCTACCGTGTTTGAAATGTCAGTTTGTTGTATATATAATGCCTTAAATGCCCATCAGCAGTTGTGTATTATTATGGCTTCTTTGAGTGGCATTTAGAAGTTGGAATGGTAACTAAGACAAAATTGTTATGGATGAGCAACTTCTTTATTACAATTGGGCGACGTTTCGGTGAAGCAAATGATGCTTGATAACGGTGTCAGAATCTACACCGAAACGTCGCCCAATTGTACTAAAGAAGTTGCTCATCCATAACAATTTTGTCTTTGTAAATATTTTATTGTGCATAGCAATATGTGGCACTCCTGATCTTCTACTATTATTAACCTTGTAACACTTCATATAAACGCTTTCAGGGATGCGCAGCAGACATGTATCTAGTAAGCATTTGTCACAGATACATGAAGGTCTAGATGTATATCATATGATGTTATATTATTTGCCTGACTCGAAAGCATATGTATAAAAATATAATCGATCCACCACCTGCAAAAACTAAAAAGTTTTTGTATGTAATCAAGTATATACATACTATATATAGTGACCTGTTTGGATGACGATGACTTATTTGCGACATATGATGTTGAATGGAAGAAGAAACATACATGTGTTCTTGTTCACAAAATAACCAGTTATTATGATTCCCAGCATGTCAAATAAACAATAAAACGCGTTACTTTTCCCCATTTTGTTCCAGATATATTTTCACGAAACATCATGTGACATAAACATTCTTACCATCCTAATCATTAGCTTCCCCCCGTCACCTTTATCATTAGCTTCCCCCCGTCACCCTTATCATTAGCTTTCCCCCCGTTACCCTTACCATTACCTCTCCCCCGCCACATTTATCAATAGCTTTCCCCCGTCACCCTTACCATTACTTCTCCTCCGCCACTATTATCAATAGCTTTCCCCCGTCACCCTTATCATTAGGTTAATCCCGTCACCCTTATCATTAGTTTTCCCCCGTCACCATTATCATTACCTCTCCTCCGCCACTATTATCAATAGCTTTCCCCGTTATCCTGATCATTAGCTTTCCCCCGTCACCCTTATCATTAGCTTAATCCCGTCACCCTTATCATTAGTTTTCCCCCGTCACCATTATCATTAGCTTTCTCCCTCACCCTTATCATTAGCTTTTCCCCGTCACAATTAGCTTTTCCCCCGTCACAATAAGCTTTTTCCCCGTCACCATTACCATTAGCATTCCCCCGTCACAATTAGCTTTCCCCTGTCATCCTTATCATTAGCATTCCCCCCGTCATCCTCATCATTACCTTTCCCCCGTCACCATTACCATTAGCTTTCCCCCCTTGGTGAAGCACCAAGCACCCTGAGGAACGTTCACGAGAAGCAGCCAATCAGGGGCACTAAGTGATCAGCATCTGTTGCTCCTACAACATGGTAATTGTCTATCATGCTACAAGCATCCAAGAGCAGTTTTCACCTGGCTTTTAGTGCTATGTAATTGCATGTTACAAATACAATGTGTTTTCTTGCATTGTGTCAATTGGGCAGACTGAACAAAGTCCCCACAAAAAGTACCATTTCATTCGAGTTTATATTTTCAGATAAATGCTGTGTGTATCAGAAATTTCATAACTAACAGCATAACAAAATAAAACAATACACACACTAATATCAGGTAAATACATATATTTATCGAGGTAGATATTGAAATTCTTGATGTCACCATAACATGAACAAAACAATACATTCATATATGTCATCTATCATAAGCACCATGCATTCCAAGGCATTTAAAGCGTATGGTGGGACACTTTCGCTCGTCATCCCCAACACACAGGTTCCCTTTTCAACATGGGTAGTTTGTGCAACCTTTTCTTGGCTCGCTGCCGTTGTTAGGGAGCATCCATTTGATTTATTATATTAATTAATTTATTTTATTTTTATCTATTTTTTAATTTATATAAATGTATATATATTTTATTTATTTATATATTTTTTAGATTCTTTTTTTTTTGGGGGGGGGCGCATGTTTCTGAACAAACTTCGTTTAATCCCCAACGCTACATTAGACATCAAATGTATGCTCCATTAGCCTGCATAGTACTTTCAGCGTCGTACTCACTCACTCATCTGGAGATCCTGACTGTATAAAAATGTGATGGCAAATAAACACATATAATTAAGACAGTTTGGTTATATTCTTTTGATTTACATTTCTCAACAGACATTAACAAACCAATGATTGATATTATGAGCCACGATTCACGCCGTCAGGGTACGATGACACTCTATCAACCAGGTCACCGAACCTGATCACCTGCTCCAGTAAGTCGCCTTTACGACAAGCATAGGTTGTTGTAGACCAACTCTAACACAGAATACCCAGGAATCAGTAGGAGTGAGTGAGTTGGATTTTATTTCTAAATAACTGTAATACTGATTAAAGCGGCGTTAACCCAACTCACTCACTTGATTCATATTAATACCGTTAATCGGTCATACCATGACATATTTACTACTGTAACAGTAATAAGAAGGAATAGGTGTTTTTTAACTTATTTTAAGTCGTATATTGTAGTTGCATGGACCGCCATCCCAGAAGCAGATCAAGTGAGTGAGTATGGTTTTACGCCGCTTTTAGCAATATTCCAGCAATATCACGGCGGGGGACACCAGAAATGGACTTCACACATTGTACCCATGTCGGGAATATAACCCGGGTCTTCGGCGTGACGAGCGAACGCTTTAACCACTAGGCTACCACACCGCCCCGAGAAGCAGTATAAACGCAGGCGTACAGTGGTGACAGGACACGGATCACAATCGGTGCCAATCTGAACTAGAACCGACAATCAACAAACAATCAGTTATTTCTGGATTTCAAACCATTTCCCGAAGAAACAAAACCGTCTGACCACACATGCATTATGCATGTCGCTCACATTCCGTGGCCATCCCTCCACCACTTACATCACTTCGTATTTGAAACCTTCGTCTTCGCGTCTCTAATAAAGGTGACGTTTTTCACGGTAGGACAACGAGCGGAGGCTTTTCTAACGGATCCTTCAGACACTAAATCCTTTAATACTTCAACCAGCTGCGATTACCATATTCCCTTAACAGTTCATCGGTCGATTTCAGTTTTTGTAAGGCGCTACAAGATAAGGTGTGTCCGTCAGTCAATTGACAAGCTTTGAGGCGGTCTTGAACAAAAAAGGTAGACTCAGTGGTTTCCTGGGGCCGCCATCTTGTTTTCCAAAATCCGTTTTCGATCAGGAAAAAACCCCAAACGTATTTGGAGGTAAGATATTTAGGAAGATACTGATTTATAGATTTAACATTTTTTTCAGTCATAGCCAATTTTTTCAGTCATAGCCAATCGGAGATTTATACATGGGTTGTAAATCCAACAATCGCACATTGTCAGACTTTTCAAACGGGGCAACACGTAGACTTCAGTAGTGACATACAGAAAAAACCCTGATCATATTAATCGATGGATGGAAGAAGGAGTACGGTAACTGCAGCAAACATGTGACCATTCTTGAGTATTACAGTTCGATGACACTGAGGTATTAGTTGAGAATGGTTTTATGAGTTAAAATGAATAATGGTTCCACGCGAGACTTTTATATCCACGTTAAGAACATATTTTCCCAAACGTATATATTCGGAACCGGGATATTTTATATTGCTAAATCAGTATGAATAAAATAACGATTTGAAAAATCATAAATGTTAGAAAACACAAATTCAGCACTTGATTAATCCAAGTGTGTGTACATGACACTAATTTGTCAGACGTGACGGACGGAGCCGATTGGTTTACACCGCATCTCCCACAGTGAGCTGACATCCTCTTGTGTCCAGTGTATAATATCGCCATTCTAGTAAGGTGAATAATCTGGACCCATTGCTCGGAAGTGAGTGAGTAATTGGGTATGGTTTTACGCGTTTTTTTTAGCAATATCACATTTGGGGACAATACAGTATTAAAGAAGTTGTTATCCATAAATTGTGTTTACTTTGACAATAGAAATGGGCTTCACACATTATACACGTGGGGAATAGAATCCGGGTCTTCAGCGTGACAAGCGAACGCTTTAACCACTAGGCTACCCCATCCCCACTCGTGAAGATCTGATGACACCTCTTAACAAGGTCGCATCAGGTGAACTTTGACCGCCCAATCAAAATGAATGATGAGTGGATGCTTGAGCCAATCAGAAATCAGGTTTCTAAAACGATTCAACTTCAATGTTTTACCCCCCGGATTAGGAGATTTCGATCTGGGCAAATGAAAACGTCATGGAACACAAATATACCCAAGACAGTGTTGGAGCCATGGCAATTGCAACAACAGTATTATTTTGTAAAATATTCACAAAAATGTTTTAATTCGGGATTATTATCGGACTTTCGGATTTCACTGAATATATGTATTTTCGAGATACAGATATATCAGATATGCTTTACTAAATGATCCGCTAACTCCTACCGAGAATAATGAAAACGATTCTGGGGTAGCGACTGGATCCATGGTATTGATCTTATGCGGATCCATAAAGGAGTTGCGCAAACGCAAATTATTTGCATTTATCCAACAAGTCTATCTTTAGTCTTTAGTCTTTAGTCCTTTCCTCAAAGCACTACATTGGCTTCCAGTCTCCTTTCGTATAAACTATAAGAAATGTATCATCACTCACGACTGCCTCAACAATAGCGACTATCCAGACTATCTCAAAGATCTTATATCCCTGTACTCTCCAGAGCGTGCTCTCCGATCCTCTGGTGGAACTCTACTGTATCAGCCTCTGTCTACTTCCGCTATGTCTGACCGTGCCTTCTCCTTTTGCAGTCCACAGTTATGGAACTCTTTGCCTTTGAATCTGAGAAACTCTGCTTCTAAGGAAACGTTTAAGTCTCTCCTCCAAACCCACTTCTTCACCTCAGCTTTTCAATAGATCTCCTGATTGTTGGCATATGTACATAGACATTACATTTTAACTTTGTCACAGCGCCAGTGAGCAACTGTCGATGGATATTAGGCGCTTTACAAATCAATTATTATTATTATTATTATTATTATTATTATTATTATTATTATCTTTAGTTGTGATCCCAAAAATCACCCCTCCGATTTTTGCCACAACAGGCTGTGGGGACATGATACACTGGATACTCTAGGATGGGTCTACAAGACTTGCTAAGATACATTGTATCTGATGAGATCATATTTTGTCGTAGTGTCTCCTTGACCGTGAAGACCGAGCACACGACACGTATTGATAGAGGGGATGCACCAAGGTGAAGGCCGCCATTCCCGCAAGGAACTTGTTCACCTGGAAAAGAAACATTATCACGATACATTGAATGAGTCACACATCCAGGTAGGGTTCTTTAACATTTATTTGTTGTTTAACGTCGCACTCAGCAATATACCAGCTATATGATGGTGGAATGAACATACATTTGTCTGGCCCTGACAATCCAGTGATTGATATTTTAGCAGCGATCCAAGCCGTCGGCTACATCGACGCGCAATCCACCGAGTCACGGAGTCCAATCCGTGCACGTATAGACGTTTACCAAACTGGTGAAAACCACAGGCACAGTTTTTTTGCTGACAAATTAGAAACATAATCAGGGCGAATCTGGATTCGAATCCACAAACCTGAGCTTACGCCTAAGCCTTACGGGGTTAATTGAGAATATAAACTGTTTGTTTATTTGTTTGTTGTTAAATGCCACACACAGCAATATTCCAGCTATATCACTGCAGTCTGTAAATAATCGAGTTGGATGTTTTCACCAAGTGACCCTGGAAACTTATGTATGTCTCATTATAATTAACCAGCCAGTAACATATATAAATATATATATGGTAGGTGGTCAGTCATTTTGTTTGTTTGTTGTTTAAAGCCACACTCAGCCATAATCCAGCTATGTGGTGGTGGTCTCAAAATAATCGAGTCTTGGTCGAGATCAAGAGAATCGATCCAAACAATTGTGATACGATGACATGCATCAACCAAGTCAGCGAGTCTGACCACCCGATCATGTATTTTTGGCATAGACATATTATGACATGGACAATCTTCTCAAAAGACTCTAATATATTAATTCATTAAAATGGATGCTTAAAGGGCAAGTTCACACGGAAATGAACCTAATTTTCTTGTACTTTTTCCACAATAAAAGTGTTAACCTAGAAGTGTCATAGACAAAAATTTAAAAATATCACAATTAATCAACATATGTTTTGCATTAAAACGATTTATATTTTTCACATTTACCAAGTGTTCTATTTCCATAACAAAAACACCATGGCTTATGCCCCTTGCAATATGACGTCATTGGTGCCAATTGATAAACATTATGACGTCATCATGCTTTGTTAGAGCCGCTTCACGTGGTGAAGGTACAGGTGTGTGATTCTAGCGTCTCAGATGCCAGCCAGCATAGTGTTATGCTGAGTCACCACTGCGCCGGAGTGTGTCGTAGGCCATGTTGTTTTACCGAAAACTTGTACTTGATATCTTTTGCGTTCAGAATAGACAGGGACCCAGTTGAATTGGCACCAATTACGTCATAATCTAAGGGAGATAACTCAGGCCTGTTTAGCTCGAAAAACGAAGGCCTCGTAACGGCATATCATTTTCACACTATTGTGAGCTTCCTACTTTCACTGTGAAAAAAATGAGTGTATATTTTCAAACACAGATACTAACTAATTCTAAAATTGCGTTTTGTTTAGAAAAAGAAAGAAAGTAATTTTTGCGTGTACACTTCCCCTTTAAGTAAATTCCAATATTCACCCTTGGTTGCATAATTTAGAAAGTTCAATAAACTCATAGCATATGATAATATGTAACTACAAAACCGAACGGCTAGTCTCGTCTGTAGAAAGAATATTGATCGATCATTCTTTACAGTCCTGGAGAAGTTCAATATTGTTGAGTTCGAAAGGTTTCTATTATAAATTACTTAAAGAAATGTCATTATTTGAAAAATATCTCGATCTACAAAAATATGTTTATTACCTGCTCTTAAAATTTCGTACCAATAACCACAATTTACCAGTCGAGACTGGCCGCTGGAATAATGTACCTCCATGTTCACTCGATAACTCTCCATCAATTCCATTATATATTTCGATGTCAAGCTTTTGATAAACAAAGACTTTCACAATTTTTTATCTTGGTCAAATGTGTTCATTAAAATGTCTTTTATCAAGAACTAAACTAAACGAGCTTGTTAGCGTCTATGAAAATATGTATTATTTGTATTGAATTCTAAGCCTTATGCCCACAGCCATCTTGTTGTACCTATGATATTAAATTATTTTTTATTTTTTTACTGTTTATATGCTCTTGTACCAGCGTCGGTGGTCTTTGGAGAAATAAAGCATTTGAATCTGAATGTTACCGTGTTGAAGTCACTGTACTGCGTCCACATAAACATGGCATACTGGAGAAAGGCAAGTGCACCTGCACTAATCAGAGATGCGCTGTAGAGGATTCCGAATTGTTCAAGTGGAAATCTGAAATACAAGCAGACGACTCAGGGTTACTTTGTTAGAACTTTGAAATTACCTCTAGTTTATTTGTTGTTTTTAACGTCCTACTTCTGGCGCTGGTCGTCACTTCCTAGAAACAGAACAGTGTATGACGAACTTGGTCTCAGCTGAAATGTCGTCATTTTACTGAAAGAACTAATACAAGTTGGTACATCTGAGTGAATACATTCGGAATCTAGTGAAAATCAGACGTTTCATGTTATTTGTAATTAATTCCAAAATAAATACACGTTATTACAAATTAGTATGAATGGGGACATGTTGTTTTGAAATCTTATATCATTTGCTTTTTAACAAATTGGAATTAATGTCGTCACGAATGGAGGAACACGATGGGCGGTAATGCGTTTGGTGAGATACCTACACGGCGATGAGGAATGACGATGCAGTAGCGTAGAGGAACGCCCTAAAAACCATGACGGCGATGAACGTCACATACAACACACTTTCTTCTGGAGACAACATCAACAGCGACACGAGCACTGCACTTATTGACGTCATCGTGAGGGGTACAACCGATGCCCTTATCTTTCCCCGAAGTGGCCTCAGATCATCTGAAACAAGTCACATTCGTCACCACTCGTCACTTACTGACGTCATCTCTCCATCACTTTCACTTACCGATATCATTCGGCATCACTCGTCACTTACCAATATAATTTGTCACCATTATCCGCAGCAAACCGACATCTTTCTTTACCGCTCGTCAATTTCCGATACCATTCGGCACCCCTCGTCACTTACCGATATCGTTCATCATCAGTCGTCACTTACTGGTATAATTCGTCATGAACAGTAAATTACTGTTATCATTCAGCATCATTCGTCACTTACCGATATCATACGTCATCGTTCGTCATTTAACGATTTCATTCGGCATCACCTGTCACGGCATTATTCGGGTCACGAAAAAATAGTAAGAGAAACGGTGAAAGATTTGTGAAACAAAATATTCAATAACATGCGCACATACTTACTGTCCACTGTTTTTAGTCTTCATTCTCTGTGTTCAAAGGTTGTTTCAACAAATTCAAAGTGTATAGCTTATTTCTGCTAAGGTGTACATTCAATTTACCCGGAACCGACGTATTAAACGACATGCCTCGATGGAGAGCTTGTCAAAGAGATTTTACGGGAATATACAACGTTATAATCCAGGCTCCCTTCGACACAACGACTTTGAGACTGCATAAGACCACAGAGGAGATTTTACTGAATTAGACTTATCACATCTTCCACATCGGGAAATAAAGTACCTGCATCTACATTTGCGGGATCATCTTCCCGAGGCAAGGGCGTTAACAGACTATAAAAGTCCAGTTTCCACCCTTGCCGAACTATGGAGTTACATTTGGGCTGGACTAAGGAGTCTATGCATTGTCAACTCAAAATCGCGTAACGAACTAGACATCCGGTTCGCAAACAACATTTGAACGTGTAGATTTCGGTCGACTGCAGGATTTGCAAGCATGTGTACCCTAAACTGGACGTCCACAGCTATTTTGACAATCTTTTCATGTGTTTAATCAAGGTGCTCGCGTGATTCGATGCACATCGAGGGGTAAGACCCGTTTTATTACAATATAGATCTTGATTATCGATCGGATCGTCTTGACTTGGCCGTTTCGCCGTTTTGTTAGAAGCAAAAGCAAGCGATATGAGAGATGGAATCTGATTGGTCAATAGGAGGGACATAGAAGGGACACAACTCGTAATGGCCACTGGTGGCGCTACGATCGAGCCTGTAAATTCCAGCCTAGTTCGGCAAGGGTGGAAACTGGACTTTTATAGTCAGTTAACGCCTATGTCTCCGGAAGATGCAGTTAGATCGTCCCCAACACGTATGCGTGGCGCTCACTAGTCGCTTTGTGCCTCTTAAACATATCTGTGTCTCTCAGGACATACCATTCAACGTTTCATTTGGACATTTCGGAATATCAAGAAATATCAGGAAGCCCCAGTCCAAAGTTGAATAGTATATAAACATACCGCGTTCCCAGACCTCACCTCTGTAGAACCTCTTCGCGCCATCGAAGACGAGTCCCGCCAACCAGGCGACGATGATGGCGGGCATGAGGGAGTAGAGGTGCACGTTGGTGTAGTAGCTCACTGCAACATCAATGACAACCATAGTACATCCTCGGTCATTCACCTCAAGCCATTATGATGACGTCATACTATTGTTGCAGTTGATTCTGAGCCAGAATTCCCTCGCCGTTCTTTAAAAACTATAGGTCATCATGCAAAATTATAAGAAATTATATATCAAACATAACATGGTTTAAATCGGAGAAATCACTTGAGTTTGTTGGTTCTGGAAGTAGAATCAATCAGCCCCTTCCAGAACCAACAGGACATCATGACTTCTCCATTATGTAATATACACGTGTTGGATGTTTACACAAAGTGACGCTGGAAACTTATGTATGTCTCATTATAATTAACCAGCCAGTAACATATATAAATATATATATGGTAGGTGGTCAGTCATTTTGTTTGTTTGTTGTTTAAAGCCACACTCAGCCATAATCCAGCTATGTGGTGGTGGTCTGTAAATAATCGAGTCTTGGCCATGCTCGAGATCAAGAGCATGGGTCCACACAATTGGGATACGATGACATGCATCAACCGAGTCAGCGAGTCTGACCATCCGATCGTGGCCTCTTATAACAAGCGTGGGTTGCTGATGATCTATTCTTATCAGGATCTTCATGGATATGTCATTCATTACCCAAATGGGACACATACAGAGAATATCTGTTCAAAACTTTGGAAAGATTCGTAGAATCTACATGAGTGAGTGAGTGAGTTTGGTTTTACGCCGCTTTTAGCAATATTCCAGCAATATCACGGCGGGGGACACCAGAAATGGGCTTCACACATTGTATCCATGTCGGGAATCGAACCCGAGTCTTCGGCGTGACGAGCGAACGCTTTAACCACGAGGCTACCCGACCACCCAAGAATCTACATGAAGATGAAGGCGACATGAAAGTCTAGGTTTAGATTTTATAATTATTATTATCAACTAAAAATGACTTAATTCATCTAAACCTGAAAACCAAGTTTGTACACTTAGAATCGTTGCGTCTGAGAGCTGTAATTTGATTGTTCAGGATGTTTTTTGGTTATTTCATTCATAATAAAGAGTCTGACGTAATTTGGTTGTCCAGAACACTCTACACTGTTGGCGTGTACGGAGTAACGTAATACATACGTCACCCTGAATGACTGATTCAGAGAGATGAAACTAAATGTTACGTAAGCTATGAATGTGATAAGTATCCCCAGGGGGACGTTTTAAGCATATATGGGATCCGACAGTGAAGGACGAACCAACAGCACACGAGAGATCCGACAGTGAAGAACGAACTAAAGCACGCGAGAAACGCGACAGTGAAGAACGAACTAAAGCACGCGAGAAACGCGACAGTGAAGAACGAACTAAAGCACACGAGAGACGCGACAGTGAAGAACGAACTAAAGCACGCGAGAGACGCGACAGTGAAGAACGAACTAAAGCACGTGAGAGACGCGACTGTGAAGAACGAACTAAAGCACGTGAGAGACGCGACAGTGAAGAACGAACAAAAGCACGCGGGGGACGCGACAGTGGATAACGAACTAAAGCACGCGAGAGACGTGACAGAGAAGAACGAACAAAAGCACGCGAGAGACGCGACTGTGAAGAACGAACTAAAACACGCGAGAGAAGCGACTGTGAAGAACGAACTAAAACACACTAGAGAAGCGACTGTGAAGAACGAACTAAAGCACGCGAGAGACCTTACAGTAAAGAACGAACTAAAGCACGTGAGAGACACGACAGTGGATAACGAACTAAAGCACGCGAGAGACGCGACAGTAAAGAACGAACTAAAGCACGCGAGAGACGCGACAGTGAAGAACGAACTAAAGCACGCGAGAGACCTTACAGTAAAGAACGAACTAAAGCACGTGAGAGACACGACAGTGGATAACGAACTAAAGCACGCGAGAGACGCGACAGTAAAGAACGAACTAAAGCACGCGAGAGACGCGACAGTGAAGAACGAACTAAAGCACACGAGAGACGCGACTGTGAAGAACGATATAAAACACGCGAGAGAAGCGACTGTGAAGAACGAACTAAAGCACGCGAGAGACGCGACTGTGAAGAACGAACTAAAGCACGTGAGAGACGCGACTGTGAAGAACGAACTAAAGCACGTGAGAGACGCGACAGTGAAGAACGAACAAAAGCACGCGGGGGACGCGACAGTGGATAACGAACTAAAGCACGCGAGAGACGTGACAGAGAAGAACGAACAAAAGCACGCGAGAGACGCGACTGTGAAGAACGAACTAAAACACTCGAGAGAAGCGACTGTGAAGAACGAACTAAAACACACTAGAGAAGCGACTGTGAAGAACGAACTAAAGCACGAGAGAGACCTTACAGTAAAGAACGAACCAAAACAAGTGAGAGACGCGACAATGGATAACGAACTAAAGCACGCGAGAGACGCTACACTAAAGAACTAACTAAAGCACGCGAGAGACGCTACAGTAAATAACGAACTAAAGCACGCGAGAGACGCGACAGTGAAGAATGAACAAAAACACGCGGGGGACGCGACAGTGGATAACGAACTAAAGCACGTGAAGGACGAACTAAATCACACGAGATACGCGACAGTGAAGAACGAACTAAAGCACGCGAGAGACGCGACTTTGAAGAACGATATAAAACACGCGAGAGAAGCGACTGTGAAGAACGAACTAAAGCACGCGAGAGACCTTACAGTAAAGAACGAACTAAAGCACGCGAGAGACGCGACAGTGAAGAATGAACTAAAGCACGCGAGAGACGCTACAGTAAAGAACGAACCAAAGCACGCGAGAGACGCGACAGTGAAGAACGAACAAAAGCACGCGGGGGACGCGACAGTGGATAACGAACTAAAGCACGCGAGAGACGCTACAGTGAAGAACGAACTAAAGCACGCGAGGGACGCTACAGTAAAGAACGAACTAAAGCACGCGAGAGACGCGACAGTGAAGAATGAACAAAAACACGCGGGGGACGCGACAGTGGATAACGAACTAAAGCACGCGAGAGACGCGACAGTGAAGGACGAACTAAAGCACACGAGATACGCGACAGTGAAGAACGAACTAAAGCACGTGAGAGACGCGACTTTGAAGAACGATATAAAACACGCGAGAGAAGCGACTGTGAAGAACGAACTAAAGCACGCGAGAGACCTTACAGTAAAGAACGAACTAAAGCACGTGAGAGACGCGACAGTGAAGAACGAACTAAAGCACGCGAGAGACGCTACAGTAAAGAACGAACCAAAGCACGCGAGAGACGCGACAGTGAAGAACGAACAAAAGCACGCGGGGGACGCGACAGTGGATAACGAACTAAAGCACGCGAGAGACGCGACAGTGAAGAACGAACTAAAGCACGCGAGAGACGCGACAGTGAAGAACGAACTAAAACACGCGAGAGACCTTACAGTAAAGAACGAACTAAAGCACGTGAGAGACCCGACAGTGGATAACGAACTAAAGCACGCGAGAGACGCGACTGTGAAGAACGAACTAAAGCACGCGAGAGACCTTACAGTAAAGAACGAACTAATGCACGTGAGAGACGCGACAGTGGATAACGAACTAAAGCACGCGAGAGACGCTACAGTAAAGAACGAACTAAAGCACGCGAGAGACGCGACAGTGAAGAACGAACTAAAGCACGCGAGAGACCTTACAGTAAAGAACGAACAAAAGCACGCGGGGGACGCGACAGTGGAAGCTAAAGCACACCAAAAAAAACGACAGCTGGAACAAAACTGCCGAGCAAAAGAAAATAAAAACTTGAAAGTCGGATTTGACCAAAAGATTACAAACGTTATCAAAACGGTTCTAGGCAGAAACAATGCAAACGTAAGGTCCGAAACTCTACGATGATACCCGAACCAAATAATTCACCATCGAGTTACCCGTTCTCGACCATCGAGTAACCCGTTCTCGACCATCGAGTTACCCGTTCTCGACCATCGAGTAACCCGTCCTCGACCATCGAGTAACCCGTCCTCGACCATCGAGTAACCCGTCCTCGACCATCGAGTAACCCGTTCTCGACCATCGAGTAACCCGTTCTCGACCCGTCCTCGACCATCGAGTAACCCGTCCTCGACCATCGAGTAACCCGTTCTCGACCATCGAGTAACCCGTTCTCGACCATTGAGTTACCCGTTCTCGACCATCGAGTAACCCGTCCTCGCCAATCGAGTTACCCATTCTCGCCCATCGAGTAACCCGTCCTCGTTTGTCTCAGTCTTAGCCACCATAAAACATGGGCGTATACTTTCTTTTGCTCGACAGTTGAGATCGTGTTACCTTTCTCTCTGTCCCTGTGCAGCACGTGATTTAGCCAGGAGTTGAGTGAGGAGACGAAGTAGGTGAAGTGGAGGAAGAGGATACTGAACCAGACGAGGTGGAAGATGAAGATGGGGGACATCATGGACTCCTTGACGTTGGTCTGGCTCTGGGACGCTTCAATACTCAGCTCCTTCTCCGGCACCTGGTTGGCGTTCACCTCGTCGTCTGGAGTGAGTGAGTGAGTGAGTGAGTGAGTGAGTGAGTGAGTGAGTGTGAGTGAGTGAGTGAGTGAGTGAGTGAGTGAGTGAGTGAGTGAGTGAGTGAGTGAGTGAGTGAGGTTTTAGGCTGTGTCAAGCATTATCCCAGCAATATCACGCCGGGGGTCACCAGAAACGGGCTGAAGACATTTTAACCATGTGGGGAATCGATCGCTTTAGCCACTAGCGACACTACCGCCTCCGTCGTCTGGAGCACGATGGAGGGAGGTGTAAAAAGACTGCATACCACTATGACTACGACTTCTACAAGGATACTGCACGTTATATGGCGACGTGCCTTCACGGAGTATTGCCAGTTTTATCGTTCTAGCCCACTGAGAAACTAGTACAATGCTGCAAAAAACAACAACAACAACAACAAAAACACACCAAAAAAACACACACAAAAAACAAAAAACATGGGCACCCCACTCACAGTTTAATGACTCCAAGCAAACCTGTACTTGTTTTATCCCCTTATTCGCCAGACAGGCTAACGTTATGCAAATCTTTCAACGTCTTTTGGTATGACCATTGACGCGGCCGGGGATGAAAGCACCGAGCTCTCCTGGTAGAGGCTCTATCCACAAGACCATAGTGAGTGAGTGAGGTTTTACGCCGCTGTTAGCAATACTCCAGCAATATCACGGCGGGGTACACCAGAAATGAGCTTCACACACTGTACCCATGTCGGGAATCGAACCCGGGTCTTCGGCGTGACGAGCGAACGCTTTAACCACTTGGCTACACAACCGCCCCACAAGACCACAGAGGCGGTCAAGAATGATGATGGTGATGATGACGATGATACCTGGTGGTATTCGTATTTGGTAGTGCCACTAATACACACACAACCCTCCCCCAAGGATATCAAATTTAAATGGTCAAGCCCTTACCGGGGTCGCCTTTCTTATAGGGTTTCTGTTTCTTGATGAACCAGCGGGGGTAGATGATGAAAGTGCTGACGAGAACGGTGACGTTGAGGCCGGTAAGGAACAGGAAGCAGTTCTTGCGGGAGATGCCATTGTCAAACGCTATCTGGAACACAGGACCTCACCCTTCATGTAACTTTATACTAATAAACACAGATACAGATATATCTGAGGTCAACTTAACCTTGGGGGAAACCTGCAGGCAGCCGTATGATGCTACCACACCAATGGTCATAGAGGTCTCGTACCCACAACCAGCTGAAACTGACACGCGGATGGATGAAACACGTAGGAGTGAGTGAGTGAGTGCGTGCGTACGTGCGCGTAATGCCCCCCTTTCACTACAACCACGAATATCCCGAATCTGCCCGAATCGGAAATTTCGAAATTCGTGATGATTCGGCCATCAATGCAAACTTTCGTGGAGAATCGGTAGGAGGTATGAAGCAGTTACGACAAACGTACGACGGATTTACGGAAACTCGTGGCTAGTCGGGTTGAAAAAATATGAAGAATGCCAGGAATGGGTTAAGAAACATGTACGAATTACAAGATCCAGGTACGGATCATGCACGAATTATAAGAATCACCTACGACTAAGCTACGAATATGCCAAATGCATGTACGAATGCATGACGATCGCAAAGAATAAAATACAATTAATACGACGTATTTACTCGTAGTGAAATTGGGGCATTAACAAGTGAGTGAACGAGTGAATGAGTGAGTGAGTCTATCCCTCTTGGCAATCCCATCTACCCTGCGTCGCCCTAGAATTCTGATGGAAGCTGTACCTTGACAACCAGAAGGACGCCGGCTGAAGCATCGAAGGCTCCGTTGAGCAAACCAACAACCGCAGAACTGTGCCTGGGAAACAGGTTGGAGATCTGACAAAGAAAACAGAGCTGTGACAGTATCTTAACTAGCGACAATGTAACAGCACACAGAATTACACATAGAGTGAAACCTTTTAGACCGTATTTAATTGAAATCAGCCGTGTAACACGAAATTGAATGTACGACAATCTTATGAATGATGTTCTTTGTATACAAGTTTTGAGTAGACGCTTCTGTTCAGGGATTTACTGCATATGGCGTCTGGAATAAGCCCCACATATTGTTCCCGACTGAGGAATCGAGTGTTTCTAGGGAGGGGTAAATATTTTAACGACTATTTTCTAGGGGGCAGACAGCAACATGCCAGACAAACCAGTGATTGGCGTTATGACCAATGTCTGGTCACCAACAGCGGTATGCCTCCAAGCAGTGATATTCCCTTACCTGTGTACTCGTCACCAACAGCGGTATGCCTCCAAGCAGTGATATTCCCTTACCTGTGTACTCGTCACCAACAGCGGTATGCCTCCAAGCAGTGATATTCCTTACCTGTGTACTGGTCACCAACAGCGGTATGCCTCCAAGCAGTGTCATTCTCTTACCTGTGTACTGGTCACCAACAGCGGTATGCCTCCAAGCAGTGATATTCCCTTACCTGTGTACTGGTCACCAACAGCGGTATGCCTACAAGCAGTGATATTCTCTTACCTGTGTACTGGTCACCAACAGCAGTATGCCTCCAAGCAGTGATATTCCCTACCTGTGTACTGGTCACCAACAGCGGTATGCCTTCAAGCAGATATATTCCCTTACCTGTGTACTGGTCACCAACAGCGGTATGCCTCCTAGCAGTGATATTCCCTTACCTGTGTACTCCTCACCAACAGCGGTATGCCTTCAAGCAGTGATATTCCCTTACCTGTGTACTGGTCACCAACAGCGGTATGCCTCCAAGCAGTGATATTCCTTTACCTGTGTACTGGTCACCAACAGCAGTATGCCTCCAAGCAGTGATATTCCCTCACCTTTGTACTGGTCACCAACAGCGGTATGCCTTCAAGCAGTGATATTCCCTACCTGTGTACTGGTCACCAACAGCGGTATGCCTCCAAGCAGTGATATTCCCTGACCTGTGTACTGGTCACCAACAGCGGTATGCCTCCAAGCAGTGACATTCTCTTACCTGTGTACTGGTCACCAACAGCGGTATGCCTTCAAGCAGATATATTCCCTTACCTGTGTACTGGTCACCAACAGCGGTATGCCTCCAAGCAGTGATATTCCCTTACCTGTGTACTGGTCACCAACAGCGGTATTCCTCCAAGCAGTGACATTCTCTTACCTGTGTACTGGTCACCAACAGCAGTATGCCTCCAAGCAGTGATATTCCCTACCTGTGTACTGGTCACCAACAGCGGTATGCCTTCAAGCAGATATATTCCCTTACCTGTGTACTCCTCAACAACAGCAGTATGCCTTCAAGCAGTGATATTCCCTTACCTGTGTACTGGTCACCAACAGCAGTATGCCTCCAAGCAGTGATATTCCCTTACCTGTGTACTGGTCACCAACAGCGGTATGCCTTCAAGCAGATATATTCCCTTACCTGTGTACTGGTCACCAACAGAGGTATGCCTCCAAGCAGTGATATCCCTTACCTGTGTACTGGTCACCAACAGTGGTATGCCTTCAAGCAGATATATTCCCTTACCTGTGTACTGGTCACCAACAGCGGTATACCTCCAAGCAGTGATATTCCCTTACCTGTGTACTGGTCACCAACAGCGGTATGCCTCCAAGCAGTGATATTCCCTTACCTGTGTACTCGTCACCAACAGCGGTATGCCTTCAAGCAGTGATATTCCCTTACCTGTGTACTGGTCACCAACAGCGGTATGCCTCCAAGCAGTGATATCCCTTACCTGTGTACTGGTCACCAACAGCGGTATGCCTTCAAGCAGATATATTCCCTTACCTGTGTACTGGTCACCAACAGCGGTATGCCTCGAAGCAGTGATATCCCTTACCTGTGTACTGGTCACCAACAGCGGTATGCCTCCAAGCAGTGATATCCCTTACCTGTGTACTGGTCACCAACAGCGGTATGCCTCCAAGCAGTGATATCTCTTACCTGTGTACTGGTCACCAACAGCGGTATGCCTCCAAGCAGTGATATCCCTTACCTGTGTACTGGTCACCAACAGCGGTATGCCTCCAAGCAGTGATATCCCTTACCTGTGTACTGGTCACCAACAGCGGTATGCCTCCAAGCAGTGATATCTCTTACCTGTGTACTGGTCACCAACAGCGGTATGCCTCCAAGCAGTGATATCCCTTACCTGTGTACTGGTCACCAACAGCGGTATGCCTCCAAGCAGTGATATCCCTTACCTGTGTACTGGTCACCAACAGCGGTATGCCACCTATACCTAGCAGCGTGAGCCCAGGGAAGACAAGCCAGGGCAGTTCTGACAATAGAACAGAGCAGTTGAGTTGAAATAATTCAGTCATTTTATTATAAGAGTACACTGATTAATTACTGGACATTTTTAAATTTTGGTTCAGTACAGACGCACACACACACAGACACACACACACAAACGTGAAAACATACATAAACTGAACGGCTCTTCGTTTCAGAGAAAACATGTTTTGTTTGAAGCAGTAAATTTACCTTTAACAAAGATCAACGAATAGATACTGGGGTAGTCTTGAGCTGATCAATGTACGCAGCGTACTGCCAGCTGCAACACTGTTTAGAAGCTCGTGTGCATGAGCAAATGTAACAGTGTAGTATCTAATGAAACACCATAATTAGTGATTGAATTGGTTTTACGCCGCTTTTAGCAATATTCCAGCAATATCCCTGCGGGGTACATCAGAAATGGGCTTCACACATTGTACACATGAGGGTAATCACCACTAGGCTACCCTACCGCCCCAAAGAAATACAATAAACCGATATACGTAGTGTATAAGCTGACATAACAATGTGAATAATTATACAGTTGATATAACACAGTGTAAACTGATATAACACAATTGCATAAGTTGATAAAACTGTGTATAGTGAGTGAGTGAGTGAGTGCGGTATTCAAGTTATATCACGGCGTGTCAGCTTGCATATTCCCGAGGCAAGAGAGTTAACTGACTATAAAAGTTCACCTTCCACCCTTGCCGAACAAGGCTGGACTAACGAGCCTAAGCATGGTGCGCGTAATCGCGTAACGAACTGGGTCCACTTGCACAAAGCGATCTTAGTGCTAAGACTATCGTAAGCCTATGTTTAAGTATGGGAGTTACGATCATCTAAGTGCTAAGATTACTTTGTGCAAGTGGGCCCTGGACATCCGGTTGGTAAACAACCTGGATTTTTAACGTGTAGATTTCGGTCGACTGAAAGGATTTGCAAAGCATATGTACCGTCAACTGGGCGTCGACAGATATTTTGAAAATCTTTTGATGTTTTTAATGAAGGTGCTTAAGTGATTTGATGTGCTTCGCGGGGTAAGACCCATTTTATTACAATTTATAGATACCTACGCATTAAATCGCAAAGAACAATGAAGAGCGAGGCGTGGTTTATTTCACGATAAAACGTTGTTCTATCATGACGTCATTTCTGGAGATTCGAACATGCGCTCGAAACTTGATGACGTCGTATATTGGAGGACTTTATTTTTAACTAGGGAGTATCAAGTGAGTTGTTCCCCATAGATGTAGCTTGGCAACGGAGATAAACTCGAAAGCTGAACGATCGCATACTAAGGCAGTAGAGATATTTAGAGATAAGGTACAGGTAATCGACATTAGGATTGTGAGAATATGCGGGAAATACCACCTGTGCCTAAAATGGCCTTGTCCGACATTGCCGAGGTCAGATTTTATTGAGGGGGTCATCATTATTTAAATACGGATAAATATCGTTAAAGAATTTACACTTAATCAACGTCCTTTAAGTGGATGTACATAATGTTGATATCTCCTATAAGCAATAAACGACTCGTGGTCGTTGTTTGTCGTACAGTAATGCACTGCAGGGAGAATAAACCACACGGGGCTGCGCACCTCATGGTTCTTTCTTTCTTAAATAGATTTTGATTATCGATCAGATCGTCTTGACTGGGCGCCGCCATTTTGTTTGAAGAAAATGCAAGGGATATGTGAAATGGAATCTGATTGGTCCATAGGAGGGACATAGAAAGTACATAACAGGCAATAGCCTCGGGGGGCGCGCAAATCCTGCCTGGAAATTCCAGCCTTGTTCGGCAAGGATGGAAGCTTGAGTTTAATAGCCAGCTACGCCCTTGCCCCGGGAAGATTGTGGAAAGAAAGCCCGAAGTGCACAGGTCTTAGACGTTTAGAACCTCGGTGAAACCCACGAGCACGGGTATGGTGCTGACAAGGAACGCAACTCTGCACAGCGAGATGCCATAAAACAGTGTGTCAGCCGAAATAACACAGTGTACAAGCTGCTGTAGCATAGTGGACAAGCTGACATAACAGTGCAGAAGCTGTTATTATTCAATACATAAGCTGCTATAACATATGCCTACCTTTGCTCTCAAATGCCAGCAAGAGGGATCCCGACATAAACAGAACTCTGAAACAGATACCAAGTTGAATCAATCTCATAAAAATCAGATCTTAGTTCTCGCTACCGCTAAACAAAGATTGAGGACATCCCTTTACGGGTCAGGTCAGAACGATTTTAATGAGATTGAAGTTGGATAAACCCTTACATAAACAAACAGATCACTAGGGTAACTAAACTCTAATGTGTCTATCCAGGCCTACTAAACATGTCTATCAAGGACAACTAAACATGTCTATCCACGGCACATAAACATGTCTATCCCGGCTAACAAAACATGTCTATCCAGGACAAATAACATGTCTATCCAGGCTAACTAAACATGTCTATCCAGGGCAACTAAACATGTCTATCCAGGGCAACTAAACACTAGCATGTCTATGCAGGGCAAATATACATGTCTATCCAGGCTAACTAAAGATGGCTATCCAGGGCAACTAAACATGTCCCATCCAGGGCAACTAAACATGTCTATCCAGGGCAACAAAACATAGCTATCCAGGGCAACTAAACATGTCTATCCAGGGCAACAAATCATGTCTATCCAGGGCAACTAAACATGGCTATCCAGGCTAACTAAACATGTCTATCCAGGGCAACTACAAATGTCTATCCAGGCTAACTAAACATGTCTATCCAGGCTTACAAAACATGTCTATCCAGGCTAACTAAACACTAGCATTTCTATCCAGGTTAACTAAACATGTCTATCCAGGGCAAATAACATGTCTATCCAGGCTAACTAAACATGTCAATCCAGGGCAAATATACATGTCTATCCAGGCTAACAAAACATGTCAATCCAGGCTAACTAAACATGTCTATCCAGGCTAACTAAACACGTCTATCCAGGGCAACTAAACATGACTAGCCAGGCTAACTAAACATGTCTATCCAGGGCAAATATACATGTCTATCCAGGCTAACAAAACATGTCTATCTAGGGCAAATAACATGTCTATCCAGGCTAACTAAACACGTCTATCCAGGGCAACTAAACATGACTAGCCAGGCTAACTAAACATGTCTATCCAGGGCAAATATACATGTCTATCCAGGCTAACAAAACATGTCTATCTAGGGCAAATAACATGTCTATCCAGGCTAACAAAACATGTCTATCTAGGGCAAATAACATGTCTATCCAGGCTAACTAAACATGCCTATCCAGGCTAACTAAACACTAGCATGTCTATCCAGGGTAACTTGTCCTACATGTCTAACCTGAGTAACTATTCAATTCGGTTTATTCCGTAAGTGTAGGCCATCGGCCTATAGTTACATTTGTATTACAATGGAGGTGATGTACACAAATCCTATTGTTCTGACAATAATGTTCTACGAAGTAACATCGCTTGATAGACATAGATAGCTAGACGTTTAATTAATTTACAATCAGTTAAATCTTTGTTTGGTCGGATATTCACCATATTTCTGTGGTAAGTGATCCACCCGTAACGTGTTATAACCGGAGCAAACAAACAAAACATGATACTCGTCCTCCACATACCCAGCATTACAAACACAACATAGTCTTCTGTCACGTGGGACATTAGCGTATCTCCCAGTTTCAACACACAGCTGATACGAAAAACATCTAAACAGAGCTAGCGCCACTCTCAATTTACTGACGGTCACACAGCTAAGATACAACTATGTACCTAACGATACCTTGAATAGAGAATAAGAGAAAGATTGACTACCCTTTTCCTGAAGACTATGCCAATCCTGTCAATAACTACATTTCAGACGCGACATAAATTCTGACAAAAACGAATGAGGATGACTTATACACTGGTTTTCCCATACAGAGCCAAAACCCAAACTGAACAATAAAGATTTACATTTTGAGACCCAATTAATTTTACCATTACTTCCTGCCTGAAGCATCAAACTTATCCAATAACCAATAACTCTTTTGTATGCATAAAGATATAATGGATAACGCCAACATTCACCCGAATAACTAAAAACCAACATGTCTATCCAGGGCAACTAAACATGGCTATCCAGGCTAACTAAACATGGCTATCCAGGGCAACTAACATGTCTATCCAGGGCAACTAAACATGTCTATCCAGGGCAACTAAACACACAATATTTACAGCATTTATAAAATCAGATTGATCGACATACATACATTAAATATTACTTCAGAAAATACCTTTACGAAAGATGTCATCTGCGAATAAGAAAATGTATTAAGCTAACACATATAGAAACTCCTCTAATTTCTAAGTTGTTCGGGCGGTCGGGTAGCCTAGTGGTTAAAGCGTTTGCTCGTCACGTCGATGGCATGGGTTTGATTTTCCACACGATTACACTGTGCAAATAGAACAGAAAAGAGATGCCTATGTGTGAAACCAATTTCTGGTGTCTTTCGCCGTCATATTGTTGGATGTCGCTACAAGTGGCGTTAACCTTACTAACACACCTTTAAAGCTTTTGAGGTGAGGTGAGGTGAAATTGGGTTTAACGTGGCGTCCAAGATTATTGCACTTATATAGCGACGTGCATGCACGTGTGTGTGTGTTTGGCTGCTTGTACTAGTCCGGACCGATGCCGATTTATAGTGCTAGCTCACTGAGATACCATGCCGCAGTTTAACATGAATACCCCACTCAGACACAGTATACTGACTCCGAGCGACCAGTCCTTGTGTTAGCCCCTTAATGCCGGACAGGGTAACAACAAGTAACATATCTTTTAACGTCTTTTGGTATGACGCGGCCGGGGATCGAACCCCGAACCTTCCGCTCTCCGGGCGGACGCTCTACCACAAGACCACGGAGGCGGTCTTAAAGCTTTTGACTTACTCAAAGACTTCAACAAGATACGGTAAAGACATTCTTTTAAACGAAGGACTGAGTAACTAACACCCAATGATAAATGACCTTCTTGCAACAAACGCCTTAACATCGTGTATACCTTGTACAGTACTCCACAAACAAAGATGTCATGTCCCGTGTCGGATTGTCAGGCGAGATCGCTACATAAATATTTGCCTGGCCATCACTGAAAGACCTGTTTGCCTGAAACGTCAAATATGTGATAATCCGGGTGTAATTTATCACAAGTTGACCTTACCTCTACCCTTGCCTTATATACGTTGTTATTCAAGGTCGTGTTATTAGCTGATGGAATGAGTTTAACAATACTTCATTTATATCAAGGCGTCTCATTTTATTATGGGAGGACGGCCCAAAGAAGACGTTTACCACATGGTGAGATCCGCAAGAATGTGTATGTTGCTGACGAACCAATGTTCATAATCACAACGAGTCCGGGGTACGTACCCATGATCAGCAGATCCTTGCATGCCTAAGGGACATAACACTGCCCTGCCCCTCCCTTTTCCACCAGGATATAAAATGGTCGATCCCTCAGTATTTATCCAGTGGCCTAAGACACGGCGTAAGTCCAGGAAGACGGATCTTGTGTGCAACCATGCATACATGTACTCCGTAATGTCCATGTGACGTAATAACTCGGAAAGTTGAAGAAAATGCATTTAAGGTCAATCTACACGGACGCGATGATAACATAACCGACAGAACGACCTTGCCCTATAACATCACTGTCATACGACTTTAAAAGTTGGTTAGGAGTCTGCTGTCCTCCGAAAGGTGTCAGATAAGAGACTTAGCTCTGGTAACATGGTACGCAAACAGCTTCATCAGAACCCACATGCACATCGCGATCTTAACCCTACAACTATTTATAACAAGCGCGGATACATCTCTTTGGTAAAAGAAGGAGCTTATTGGCAATTCGCGTACGGTAATTTTGTTAAACACATACCACCAGATAAGTAAGGTATGATGTTTTCCGTCTTCATTATGGTCTAGTGGTAGAGCGTCCGCCCGGAGAGCGGAAAGTCCGGGGTTGGATCCCCGGCCGCGTCATACCAAAATACGTTAAAAGATGTTACTTGTTGTTACCCTGTCTGGCGCTCGGCATTAAGGGGCTAAAGCAAGGACTGGTCGTCTCGGAGTCAGTATACTGTGTCTGAGTGGGGTATTCATGTTAAACTGCGGCATGGTATCTCAGTGGGCTAGCACTATAAATCGGCATCAGTCCGGACTAGTACAAGCAGCCACACACACACACACACACACACACACACACACACACACACGTGCATGCACGTCGCTATATAAGTGCAATAATCTTGGACGCGACGTTAAACCCAATTTCACCTCACCTCACCACACCTCCACCTTCATTATTAACTGCCTGATCACCCATACAATTTACGAATTTATAATCGTTAAGGAGATTGAAACCCACCACTGGATCATGTATGTGTAAGTCTATGTTAAAGTATAGGAGTTACACCAGTCTGCACAAGTCGGCTCTGGCGTAACTTGTCCCGTGAGACGATGGGGGTCAGCACCGGTCTACATCATACCCGCCATGGTTATTCAATGGGTGGGTGATTCTAACCGTCCCTTAAACGTTCCAATTATGTCGGGTAATAAGAATTCGAACATTATTTTTTTAATAAAAACTACGCTTGTTGTGTTTCGTGTCATATTTTCGAAATCTGAAAAATCGATTTCAATTTAAATCGTTACGGTTCAAATGACGAAAAGACATCAGGAATTGTTAAATGACGCCACGTAAATGTTAGAATGGTATTTCAGCTATATCATGGCATGTCAAACTAGTGTTTCAGTTATATAATAGCATGTCAGAATAGTATTTCAGTTATATCACGGCAGGTTAGAGGAGTATTTCAGTTATATCATGGCATAATAGAATAGTATTTGAGCTAAATCTCGGCATGTCATAAGAGTATTTCAGTTATATAACGGCAGGTTAGAAGAGTATTTCAATTATATCATGGCATAATAGAATAGTATTTCAGCTAAATCTCGGCATGTCATAAGAGTATTTCAGTTATATAACGGCAGGTTAGAAGAGTATTTCAATTATATCATGGCATGATAGAATATTATTTCAGCTTTACACGGCATGTTATAATAGCATTTCAACTATATACCGGCATGTCAGAATAGGTTTTCGGCTGTATCACACACAAAAATCAGAATTGTATTTAGGCTACATTACGGCATGTTAACTCAGGTAGGAAAGCCAAAAGTGAAATAGAGTTTGGAAATCAACCGAAACCGCTTCACTCTTCATCATGGCAGTATGGAGATAGAAATGGCGTGTTTAGAGCTGTGCTACGTGGAGATTTGGTGCTACATTTAACAGGTCAAATATGCAGGTTCTTCGTTGAAAACACATCGACCCACCAATCTCGTTATCTTGTTTTATCGTGAAAAGGAGTGCCCGAAACCTGGTTACGGTTGTGTGTGAACTTGCTTTTGAAAGACTTGCCAATACCACCGACGCACAATCCAAACTTTACCAGAAAACAGTCAAACCTAAAGTCTCGTGAAAGCTGTCATGAAGCCAGCTTGTTCCAATTCATGGATACGTTCTAGTCTACTTCGGTTTATTTTGGACGCGTTTGTGTATTACCTTGGGAACATGCAATATACATATAATATACATATAATATACATATATTATACTGTTCCCATATATCAATAACACTTCGGTGAAACCTACGAGCACGGGTATGGTGCTGACAAACCTAGAAACATATTCGGGTCGAACCGGGATTCGAACCCACAGTCATAGGTTTCTGGCGTGCCCAAGGGACGCAACTCTGCACAGCGAATCGCGGCGCCTTAGAGACTGGGCCCCCCGTGGCCCCCAAGGAGAAGATGACGTCACTATGAGCTAAAAATGACGGTGAGTTTAACTTAAAAGAGATCTTACATGGACAATATCCTGGTGATACGTGTTCCGTATTTAAAGTTGATGTGACCTGTCAAGAGCGACGTCAGTGCACCTGCGCTGGAGGCGATGGTGAATACGAGATCAAACTCGCTATCCTGAGCATGGCAGACGACACCCGTGTCCTGAATGCCGCCATCTTTGAAAATCCAGGAATCATTGACTCCACCGTGTCCTGAAGAATTGTTAGGATCGTTATCACACAAATCGGCATATATTCCATCATATTTCAGAATATACACCAGGGAAGCCCATCCATACATTACGCCACAAAACAACAGGCATTCGAAGAAAACCCACGTCAGGTATAACACACGTTTCCATAAAGGTAGAAGCTGTGATCTGTCCGTTTTCAAGAGACTCAGCGTCTCTGTGCTGTCCATGGTGCTGCGGGAGTCCATGCTTGTAGAATCCGGCTCAGTGGATAAAATGTGTCACAGTCATGGTTCAGAATACTTCCCGACGTGAGTTGAAATGCAAAGATCGTCTTCACTGCCACGCGGAACCTGTCGCTAAATAGACGGTGAGCTGTTTGCTTATCGTATTTCTAGAGCCAACTGTACTATCGAGATTGATGTGACCTATATCCCGGGTTGAAAGGTTTTCGTATTAGCGTTACGTATTGCTAATCGCGCCGTTGCCTGGGATAAGCGTCCCTAGCGGAACTCACAATCACTTACGCAACTAAGCCAAGCACACGCTACAAATGGCTCCGAGACAGTATCCTAAAAAATAAGTTGTATTTGTTTAAATACATTAATATTGCATATTGCATATTATGCAGTGACTAGTAATACATTCTCTATTTTAGGACAGGGGGAGGTTCGTGACCAATGTTACATGTATTTTGAAGGGAGGTGGCTGTGATTATACTGTTGAAAAAGAAATGATACAGTCCAATTCCAACCTCCCTTCAATACAGTGCCCAAACTAATTACAGTGAGTGGGTGAGTTTGGTTTTACGCCGCTTTTAGCAATATTACATCTTTATCACGGCGGGGGACACCAGAAATGGGCTTCACACATTGTACCCTTGTCTGGAATCGAACCAGGGTCTTCGGCGTGACGAACGAAGGCTTTAACCACAAGGCTACCCGACCGCCCAACTTATGATATAACCAGTTGTTTTGATATACTCCATCCTCAAAGGATCTAGACCAAGCAATATTAACATATAATAGTAATATCCATATGGGTGAGTGACCTGGCCGCTTTGAACATTATTCCAGTTCATGAATACCACGGCGTGTCAGCTAAATAGGGAGGAAATCACGCCATAATGCAGGTCTTACACGTTTACCACTTTGGTGAAAACAATTGCACGGGTATGGTGCTGATAAAACATAATCGGGGCTAACTGGAATTCTAACCCACGATCATAGGTTTCTGGTGTATCTGAGGGACGCAGCTCTTATCGGTGACAGGCGGCGCCTTGGAAGACTGTTTTGTTGTTCAACGCCGCACTCAGCAATATTCCAGCTATGAGACGTCGGTCTGTAAATAATTGAGTCAGAAAATCAAAAAATCCAGTGATTGATCATCCGATCTCGTTTGTCGCCTCTAACGACCAGCATAGTCGTTTTTACGGCAAGGATGGGTTGCTGGAGACATATTCTAACCCGGATCTTCACTGGTCCCTTGGTAGACTGGGCACAACAAAGTGTCAATCAGCCGTGTTCCCAATATCCATGTAAAGAACTGTACGACAACAATTGATATTTGTGGAGGAGGCAGAGAACGCTGTTATATAAGAAATAACCGCTGGGCTTACATACAAAGCCCCAGTCAAGCCGAGGGTGGACGCAAAATGCTCTGTTTGGGGATTGTTTGGGTCAAGGAGAAGATGACGTCACGATGAGCTAATATGACGGTGAGTTTAACTTAAAAGAGATCTTACATGGACAATATCCTGGTGATACGTGTTCCGTATTTAAAGTTGATATGACCTGTCAAGAGCGACGTCAGTGCACCTGCGCTGGAGGCGATGGTGAATACGAGATCAAACTCGCTATCCTGTGCATGGCAGACGACACCCGTGTCCTGAATGCCGCCATCTTTGAAAATCCAGGAATCATTGACTCCACCGTGTCCTGAAGAATTGTTAGGATCGTTATCACACAAATCGGCATATATTCCATCATATTTCAGAATATACACCAGGGAAGCCCATCCATACATTCCGCCACTAAACAACAGGCATTCGAAGAAAACCCACGTCAGGTATAACACACGTTTCCATAAAGGTAGAAGCTGTGATCTGTCCGTTTTCAAGAGACTCAGCGTCTCTGTGCTGTCACTGGTGCTGCATGACTCCATGCTTGTAGAATCCGGCTCAGTGGATAAAATGTGTCACAGTCATAGTTCAGAATACTTCCCGACGTGAGTTGAAATGCAAAGATCGTATTCACTGCCACGCGGAACCTGTCGCTAAATAGACGGTGAGCTGTTTACTTGTCGTAATTCTAGAGCCAACTGTACTATCGAGATTGATGTCACCTATATCCCGGGTTGAAAGGTTTTCGTATTAGCGTAACGTATTGCTAATCGCGCCGTTGCCTGGGATAGGCGTCTGTTGGGGAACTCACTTACGCAACTAAGTGAGTGAGTGAGTTGGGTTTAACGCCGCTTTTAACAGTATTCCAGTTATATCACGGCGTGTCAGCTTAACGTGGGAGGAAAGCCCGAAGGAATGCAGGTCTCAGACGTTTACCACCTCGGTGAAACCCACGAGCACGGGTATGGTGCTGACAAACCTAGAAACATAATCGGTCGAACCGGGATTCGAACCCACAATCATAGGTTTCTGGCGTGCCCAATGGCTGGACTACGCAACTAAGCCAAGCACACGCTAAAATGGCCCCGAGACAGTATCCTAAAAAATAAGTTGTATTTGTTTAAATACATTAATATTGCATATTGCATATTATGCAGTGACTAGTCATACATTCTTTATTTTAGGACAGGGGAGGTTCGTGACCAATGTTACATGTATTTTGAAGGGAGGTGGCTGTGATTATACTGTTGAAACAAATATGATACAGTCCAATTCCAACCTCCCTTCAATATAGTGCCAAAACTAATTACAGTGAGTCGGTAAGTTTGGTTTTACGCGGCTTTTAGCAATATTACAGCCATGTCACGGCGGGGGACACCAGAAATGGGCTTCACGCATTGCACCCATGTCGGGATTCAAACCCGGACGAGCGAACGCTTTAGCCACTAGGCTACCCGCACGCCCACGCCTCCCCCCCAAAAAACACACACACAAAACAAACAACAACAACAACAACAAAAAACAACAACAAAACAAAACAAACAAAAACAAACTAATTTCAAGTCCTGTCCAGAGCTAAATCTCTTACCCCTGGTAAACCGTCAACATGTCAGCACACACACACAGACACACACACAGACACACACACACACACACACACACACACACACACAGACACACACAGACACACACACACACACACACACACACACACACACACACACACACACACACACACACACACACACATAGGGAACGCTCGCTGCGAGGAGTGAGATTTGCCCTGTGATGCTGCATGAACAAGGGACACAGTGGATGCGCTCACCCATCTACCAGAGGCAAGGAAGTTAACTGATTATAAAAGTCCAGTTCCCACCCTTGCCGAGCTAGGCTGGTATTTCTGGGCTCGAAGTTCGTAGCGCGACCAATGACCATTACGAGTTATATCCCTTCTATGTGCCTCATACTGACCAATCAGATTACACCTTTCATATCACTTGCATTTGCATCAAACAAAATGGCAGTGCCCAGTCAAGACGATCTGATCTAAAATCTATATTGTGATAAAACGGGTCTTCCTTCGCGATGTGCATCAAATCACTTGGGCACCTTGATTATAAACATTAAAAGATTTGCAAGATATCTGTCGACACCAAGTTGACGGTACACATGCTTTGCAAATCCCGCAGTCGACAGAAATCTGCTCGTTGAAATCCATGTAGTTTACGAACCGGATGTCTAGTTCCTTATCCGATTTTGATTGGTCTCTGCATAGACTGGCTTGTCCAGCCAAAATGTAACTCCGGAATTCCAGCCTAGTTCGGTCAGTTAACGCTCTTGCCTCGGGATGATGAGTGAGTGAGTGAGGGCGTGATATATTTATCACGCAGTGTTAGTCTTAATTTATCAAATACATGGTGGTGTAAGTGAGTGAGCATGGTTTTACGGCGCTTTTAGCAATATTCCAGCAATATCACCGGAAGATGAGACTAGGTCAAACGAGTGATTGATATCGTGAACAACACAGCGCCAGAGTATGATGAGCCTTATAACTCGTTCCATCTAGTCGATTCTTTCTACAAGGGAAGGTTGCTGGGGATCTGCCTAAGTGATCAACGATGTCTATTTGTCAATATTGGAAATCCACTTTACCAAGGACAAGTGAGAAGGATAAGACCACTTGTCCGGATTGAATTTCTTGACGAAACGTGCCATCGAGTAACCTGGAATCCGCTGATGACATGACGGTGCCCTTGCAACAGACCGCCAATTCTTAAATGGCGAATGCTGTTTGCATTTGCCTGGCTGAGAACAGTACGATGGGCAAGACCTGGTACGTTGGATATCCCTGACATATCACTCTACACCTCTAATGTTATGAAATAAATCGAAGTAACCTTGTGATTGTGACACTGACCGCTCGTAGTAAAAGTGTGACACACGCCACCTAATATGTGTGACAAGATAATGGGGTCTGTTGGATAGTCATGTGATCAAAGTGCGTGTTGACAATGATGTGCGCTGGTCTACTTTCTTGTTATGCTGACTTTCTCCATGGTCTAGTGGTAGAGCGTCAGCGGAAGGTCCGGGGTTCGAACCCCGGCCGCGTCATACAACAACACGTTAAAACACTCTATCTGGTGCTCGGCATTAAGGGGCTAAGACAAGGACTGGTCGGCTCGGAGTCAGTATACTGTGTCTGAGTGGGGTATTCATGTTAAACTGCGGCATGGTCTCTCAGTGTGCTAGCACTATAAATCGGCATCAGTCCGGACTAGTACAAGCAGCCACACATACATAGAAGGGGGCAATAATGGGATCATGTGTAGCATCTATTGCTCCTGCGCAGTTCGTCTTTATATCCATCGACCTGTTATGATCCGGGGTCTTCTGCAACCCAGGCGACTTTGCTTGTCGTAAGAGGCGACCAACGGGATCGGGTGGTCAGGCTCGCTGACTAGGTTGATGCATGTCATCGTATCCCAATTGCGTAGATCGATGTTAATTATGTAAATCACTGGATTGTCTGGTGCAGACTCGATTATTTACAGACCGCCGTGCGGCGTTAAACAACAAACAAACAAACTGTTTATCCATCAATAACTTCAAGGCTCAAGCACGTGGAAATCGACCATCCTCTGATATGTGGCTACGCAAACGTCATGGACGCAGATGCACACTTTGGACCTGGCTATTCCAAACAAGTTACCGATAGTTCGGTACCCCATTGTTGTGGCCATAAAGTACACAGCTACTGCAACGCGATATTCAGTAGTCGAGGCTACGCTAACGTCTGATAAACCTAGGGGGGGGGGGACAAAGTATGTTACAGCCCTGACACCAATCCCACCCGCCCTCCACCAACTCAACTCTATAATTTAAATGCAATAGGAGTGGTGGAGAAAACGAATCCTTCCATGGCTTGCAAATACCAAGGTAGTCGCAAAATGCATTTTTTTTAAATTAAGCACAATGAGTTAAAATTAGTTTCAGAGATCAAGTTTGGGGGAACAAACTTCAGCGATAATATTAGGTTACAAGACAAGCAGTATCACAACTTATAATTATATTTCCCGTTATGCAAAGCAGTCTATACATGCAAAAAATATTGTGTGAAATTTACTCGTATGATAATCCAGAAATTGCAATTACATTCAATTTGACATTTTTCAATAGTAAGACTATAATATTAACTTGGTATTTATATAGCGCTAGTTTCCAGACTGACTGCTCAAAAGCGCTCTTGAAGCTCGCACAGTTGGTATGGCCGTATATATTTTGCTGAACAAGTGTGTCTTCAGATGATTTTTGAAACTGTTAAGTTCTCTGAGCATTCTGAGTTCTTTGGGCAGGGCGTTCCAAAGAAGAGGACCAGCCCTTGCAAAGCAGCGACCCCCGTAGGAGGTTGTTCTTGATGGTGGCACTTCAAGCAACGATTGATCACAAGATCGTAGAGCTCTTGTTGGCTGGTATTGTATGATGAGATCCTCCAGGTAGCTTGGAGCAAGACCATGCTGTGCCTTGAACATATATACCCCCTGACTTCACATTTGCTCCCCTGTTCAACAGATGATTCAGCAAACAATGCCCCACATCATTATTTCATGTGTCGTGCAGTATCAAAAGAAATCCACGAATCTAATTCACCGATCTGTAGTTATTCTAGTTGATTTTCTCAATAAACTCCCATCAAAATATCAAATGCAGCAAATTATGCGCAAACGCATGCACGCACACAACGTAAAACTAGTAAACTGGCATAACGTGATAAAAAGATCTACTTACACTGAGACGATTCTGACGACCCTGGATCCAAAATGAAATGTTATTTGTCCATTTATAAAAGCGAACGCACTAGACGCACTGGAGGCGACGACAAACACCAGATCCATGCGCTGCTCCTGAACGGCACAATACACGTCATGAAAGCCGCCATAATGCAAAATTTGAGACTGATTTCCGATTGTCGCTAGAAATGAATCATTGACAGAAATATTCACGTCACACAAATCGAGGTAGATCTCTTCCGTTTTGAATATATACACTAAGGACGCCCATCCACATGGTAGTCCAGAAAACAATAAACACTCCAGCGTTGACCATACCAGAAACAATACCGCCTTCCATAGTGGTACGCTGTCGTAACGACTTTGTGGCTTGTTTACAAGAAAAGAAGACTCCATCAGAATGTACTTGGTATTCGTGGCCAAACCTTGCACATATTTTCGATACAGCCACTAGTTTGGTCATGCAGGTCTGCGTTTTACAAACAAGCTTCTGGTACTGCTCTTGTTTTGTATAGGGTACATTATATCCCAGCACGAGCCAGCCAGTGTGTCGATGTCGTGTGGTTGTCAATTTCAAAATACTATTTGGGGTTAACCTACAATCCTGCACGTGCAGCATTCACATTTTCCAATGATATCATCTGTCCAGGAAGATCACTTAAAAGAGCCTGTGAAAAATGTAAAGTCCGTGTTTTTTGTTTTGTGTTCTTTCAAATGGATGCGTAAGTTTGGTTTTAACGCCGCTTCGGACACAACTTCAGCAATCTCACGGCGTGTCAACTAAATGTCAGGGGAAAGTCTATAGTGAAGCAGGTCGTATCTTTCATATAATGTGTGTTTGTTTACTTGTTTGTTGTTTAACGGCACACTCAGCAATATCCCAAATATATGACGGCGGCCTGTAAATAATCGATTCTGGACCAGACAAAGTAGTGGTTGATAATACGAACATCGTTCCATGCCGTTGAGGTACGGGTAACACACAGCCAGCCAAGTCATCGAGCCTACCTGCTCCATCTGGTCGGTTCTTACAACAAACATATGTTGCTGGAGACATATTTTAGCACGGAATTTCCACGGAGACTCTCATAAGAAACAATTTATATGATTTCAAACGGCATATTAGAACATATGACAATAAGATAACGGTCGGGACCATGGATGATGAGTGAGTGAGTGAGTGAGTGAGTGAGTTGTGTTTAACGCCGCTTTTAACAGTATTCCAGATATATCACGGCGTGTCAGCCTAATGTGGGAGGGAAGCCCGAAGTGATGCAGGTCTCTGACGTTTACAACTTCGATGAAACCCACGAGCACGGGTATGGTGCTGACAAACCTAGAAACATAATCGGGGCGAAACGGGATTCGAACCCACAATCATAGGGTTCAGGCCTTAGACGACTGGGTCACCCGTGCTTCAAATAAAATGTTCGCTCGTCACGCCGAAGACCCGGGTTCGATTCCCGACATGGGTACAATGTGTGAAGCCCATTTCTGGTGTCCCCCGCCGTGATATTGCTCGAATATTGCTAAAAGCGGCGTAAAACCAAACTCACTTACTCACTCATTCAAATAAAATGGCATCGCCCAGTCAAGACGATCTGACGATAATCAAGATCTATATTGTAATAAAATGAGTCTTGCTTCACGAAGGGTGCGTCCTTGTCGTTGCATATTGACCTCGTGAAAAGTAATCATTCGCTTTATCCTTTAAACCATCCTCTTGTTTCATTACAGTAACTAGGCTGCGAATCGTGAAACGTTAGTACCAGACGCCATCTTGTTTTCTAGCAGACGAGTTAAAATTCATCACATCACGTCAATTCTGATCATGTGACGAGTCAATATTCGAGGTCAGTGTCAGTCATTTGATTTTTGGTTCAACATTCAAATGTATTGTTTCGTCGCGTTGTACGAATTAACCAATGGCCGGTCAGACCCCCTTAGGGGTCGGGTCCGCGGGTCTTTGATGTCGCATCCTGACCTCGTCAAAAGTAATTACTCTGTATTTGTATAGTACTTGTTGCTAGCCTGCTAGTCAACATGCAAGACTCGTTTAAAATGACCTCGTCAAAAGTAATTACTCTGTATTTGTATAGTACTAGTTGCTAGCCTGCTAGTCAACATGCAAGACTCGTTTAAAATGACCTCGTCAAAAGTAATTACTCTGTATTTGTATAGTACTTGTTGCTAGCCTGCTAGTCAACATGCAAGACTCGTTTAAAATGACCTCGTCAAAAGTAATTACTCTGTATTTGTATAGTACTGGTTGCTAGCCTGCTAGTCAACATGCAAGACTCGTTTAAAATGACCTCGTCAAAAGTAATTACTCTGTATTTGTATAGTACTTGTTGCTAGCCTGCTAGTCAACATGCAAGACTCGTTTAAAATGGCCTTAAAACATTAATTCCGTAAGTTTAATTAATCATTAATCCCTCTTCCTCTGTGACTGTATTCACTTGTTTGGGTTCGATCCCCGTCCAGTCAAGTTCATCCTTATTGTAGGTCATCGGCCCGTGTACTAATATATGTATATATTAAATTCCTTGAGCAATAATGAAACATGTTTAGTGTACATAGTGTACATGGATATATAAATATACATAAACATATACAAGATACGATGATGAGGTATTTCTGACAGTTCTTGGACATAAAGCCTGTTTAATGAATTTAAATCTATTACCTGTTGGTGTCAATGTTAATCTGCTGCTTATCATAACATGTCATGCTTAACATAACATGTCATGCATGTCACTCTTATCACTTGGTTGTTGTCACTCCTGGGCGCGGTTGTACAAACCAACCTTAGCGCTACGACTGCCGTAAGTCTATGTTAAGGTATGGGGGTTATGTTCACCTTAGCGCTAAGATCGCTTTGTACAACGGTACCCAGCTTGATATTACGGTGTAAGAGTCAGCATCGAAACGTTGCTATATGAAATAAACCAGAAGTAGATATCAATAAAGTTGTACGTTATCTTAATTACTCGTCAACTTTAAGAATGTCCATCAAACAGTTAACTCCTTAAATATTTAGCGGCACGTCCCGCAAGCAGACCGTGCAGGTATTAGAGTAGCTGGCCTTAGATCATTCTATGAAGCTCCATGCCAGCGCGTGACACCTTCGTTACACTCCCGGTATAGAGAACTCCGCGAACGTGTATCACTGTGAGGAGCTTGATATCAACCAATCACAGCATGAATCGGTGTGTGACGTATATCGCCAGGCAACAAAGAAAACAAACGGTCTTAAATATTTATTGAAAACGAGTATTCCATCTGAACAGCCGTTTACACAGGTAGGTGAATATTGGATCTCTGACTAGTTTCATCTTAGTAATAGATATGTTATCAATTCATGAAGAATTCTTAATACTGACGATAACCGTGAACAGGAAAACACGTTTTCATTTGTTATATTCAGAAGTGAAATTTCAAAGGATCGTTTCCGATTCGGTTCTTATTTCTCAGAGGTATTAATCACAAATAGCTGCGACAGGCATTGTGCCAGAACTTACCCCAGCTGCCATGGTAGTAATTCATGGGTGTGAAGGGACAACAAAATTTGCTAAAGAAAATCGTAAATACCCCCTCTCCCTCGATTTACCCCCGAAGTAATATGTAAATAGATGATTTATTTCGCTTGTTTTCATCTGGACTAGGCCTTTTTGAGTTTGTCTTTGTGACAAAGACAATTTGATCATAAAATGTATAAGGTAAAAGGAATGTATGTCACAACTAAGTTTGGGGGCGGTCGGGTAGCCTAGTGGTTAAAGCGTTCGCTCGTCACGCCGAAGACCCTGGTTCGATTCCCGACATGGGTAGCCTGCAACCTCGGGGTATCGCGGTACTTGTCATGTACGCTAAACAGAACAAAATGCACTCACTAACCTTTATGTTTATTCGTGTTCTCTGTATCAGATACCATTCATGTTATCAAACAATGCATATTTTACTGATAAAAGTTCATTATTTACATTAGTAGCTCCGAGTAAAAGCCGGGCCTCGCGCTCTGTTTGACAAGGGAGAGAACTCCATCATATTGCGGTACAGAGAAAAGTTGTGTATGGAGGTCCGAATTGGACAAAAAGAAGACATAATTCTACCAACAACTTGATATGATCATGCCAGACATCAGTGATTTGTCCAGACAAGTGCAAAGACAGCACAAGTAAAATTCTAAATGTGTTATCAGCAATAGGTATTCAATGCATATTTACCGAAAAGTAAGAGAAAAATATTTTTATAAGTCAACATCAAAATATCAGAAATGATATTTTAAGATTGTTTAAAAAAAATTGGATGACAATAATTTGTCACAAAATGGAAAAATGTTTAAAGTCAACAATAAATATATAAAAAGCACTCCTAGTATGCCCAAAGTATGTATTTATCTTTTGGTTACTAGTGAAGAACGTATTTCTAAGTTTGGCATTATGGCCCTTATGATCTCCCAATAGATTCTGGCCACAGAGCGGGTAAAAATGTGCGGACTACGTAACTTCTGTTACCTATTTAGTCGACATGAATATGCAGATGATCTAGTTCAGGTCGATAGAGAAAGTTTACATGGGGAACTGCGGGTTATATCATTAGTCATTGATAGATGGGGGTAAGGCAATATTACAACAGATGCCAGAAATATGTATCAACGGATTAATAACTCCTTACTTACAGCAGACGGAACATTCCGAGGAAATTGAAATTGTTTACGAAGTGAGCACTTCCTAGTTACTGATTTGCATTAATAGACAACCGCTAAGAGGCGTGTCCCGGGTGAACTACCGGAAATCACAAATGCCGCGATACGATGAATGCCGCGGTACCATGGGGTCCGAGTATACAATGTGTGAAGCCCATTTCTGGTGTCCCCCGCCGGATATTGCTGGAATATTGCTAAAAGCGGCATAAAACCATACTCACTCACTCACTCACAACTAAGTTTGTGATATAGATCTGGGTGAGGTAACAGGCATCTCATAACAGGCATTTGTGAAACACAGTATGACGGAAGGTTCATTTTGGCATTTGGGTTTGCATATTTTTGGGCCCATATTTTATAACAAGATAAAACTGTAATTTGCTTTGCCTAAACTGACTGCAGATGATACAGAGAATATCCTGTAAAATTCAAAACAAGGATTTTCCAAGTCGACACAATTTATGGATATCAACTTCTATATTTACAGAAAAGAAGACGTTTCGGTATAGATGCTTAGGCTACCATGTATTTGATGTATTAAGACTTACACTTAATACACTCAATGGGAGGGCCTGGTGGTTAAAGGGCAAGTTCACACGGAAATGAACCTATTTTTCTTGTACTTTTTCCACATTAAAAGTGTTAACCTAGTAGTGTTATAGACAAAAATATAAAAATATCACAATTAATTAACATATTTTTTGCATTAAAACGATTTATATTTCACATTTACCAAGTGTTCTATTTCCATAACAAAAACACCATGGCTTATGCCCCTTGCAATATGACGTCATTGGTGCCAATTGATCTACATTATGACGTCATCATGCTTTGTTAGAGCCGCTTCACGTGGTGTAGGTATAGGTGTGTGATTCTAGCGTCTCAGATGCCAGCCAGCATAGTGTTATGCTGAGTCACCACTGCACCCGAGTGTGTCGTAGGCCATGTTGTTTAACCGCAAACTGGTACTTGATATCTTTTGCGTTGAGAATAGACAGGGACCCAGTTGAATTGGCACCAATTATGTCATAATCTAAGGGGGATAACTCAGGCCTGTTTAACTCGAAAAACGAAGGCCTCATTACGGCATATCATTTTTACAGTATTGTGAGCTTCCTACTTTCACTGTGGAAAAAGTGAGTGTATATTTTCAAACACAGATACTAACTAATTCTAAAATTGCGTTTTGTTTAGAAAAAGAAAGAAAGTGATTTTTGCGTGTACACTTCCCCTTTAAAGCATTTGCTTGTCATGCGGAAGACCCGCATTCGATTCCCCACATGGGTACAATGTTTAAAGCCTATTTTCTGGTGCTCCCTCCCGTGCTTTTGCTGGAATATTGCTAAAAGTGGCGTAAAACCATACTCACTCACTTACACTGTGACCATGCATTTGATAAATTAAGACTTACACTGCATGATAAATTTATCACGCCCATTAGGTTCCATATACTTGGAGTATATAATAGTAATTTTGTAAATAATTATAAAGAAATAAGAATCTCATTTTTGTTGTTCATATTCCAGGGATCATTCATGTGTGTGCCTGAGTTATCATTCGACAACGTTGATCTGTTATCATTCAGCCACTTTTATCAGTTATTCAACTATACTGAGATGCATTAAAAACACACACCAGTCAAAATCATGCGATTGTGATAATATCCCACATAATATCACATAAAAAGATAATAAAACGTGAAATGGAGATCAATCCTGACAAAATGACGTTGTTTTTCTCAGATTTTAATGCAAACCAATGACTGAAGAGCATCTCAAAAAGAGGAGGTATGAAATCAAAGTTCAAAGTTCAAAAACGGGTATGCCCACCTTGGGCGACAATGCATGTTTGAAGTCTGTTAGGCATTGATAAGCACAGTCTTCGAATAAACGCCTGTGGAATGGCCCTCCATTGCACCTGCAAAGCTTGGGTTAACCCAGCGACAGTCTGTGGTGGATGCAACTGACATCGAACCCCACGGCCATGCTTGTTCCACAAGTGTTCAATTTGATTCAAATCCGGCGATCAAGAGGGCCATATTAACACCTGAACATTGTTTTGTTGCAAGAAATTCCGGGTCACGCGAGCTGTATGAGGTTGGGCATTATCATGTTGGAACACCAGTTCGTTAACGCCACTTCGACGTCCTCTCAGCAAGGGAAAGAGCACTGGCTGCAACACTGTGTCAATGTAACGCTGGGTGTCATGATGTCCACGAATAACAACCAAGTCAGAGCGAGAGTTGGCATTAATTGCACCCCACACCATGACACCTCTACCTCCAAATCGATCATGTTGAATAACGCAGTTTCGAGCAAAACGTTCATGGTTCCGTCTGTATACACGGATGCGGCCATCTGGGAAACTGACGTTGAAGCGTGATTCATCTGAAGAGATGACATCTCTCCATTGCCTGGGAGCATGATGACCACCTGCAGCTGCCCAACGTTGACGTGCAAGACGGTGCGTGAGTCAAGATCTGGCCACGATAGGGTCAACGGTTCCGGATGTTTCGTGCAGCAAGGCGACGTCAGACCGTGCCATCACTGATTGGTCCTCCCCTTGTTCCCATCATGCCAATGACAGTCTGTCATGCTGTTCTGAAGCAATCCCAAAGGTGACTCACAATGATGAGTTGGTCCTGCCTCCATGATGTCACGGGTGGCGTTCCTGGTCGAGGACGGTCGGCAACACTCCCAGTTGTACTGTGATGATGCTGCAGTCGGACAACAGTTGATCGATGGACACTGAAGTGTACAGCAACATTTCTCGGCGTGTGACCAGCTCCCACCATCCCTATGGCTTGGTTCCTCTGCGCGTTGCTTAACTGTGGCATTGTGAATATGCATGATACCCTGCCCGCACTGTTTTTTTTTATATAGCCCAAGTTCCCACTTTGCATGCGCATCATGACATTTTTCTGATCTTCCTGACTTCCCACATTTCACCTTTATGGTTGCGTTTTAGTCGTCAAGCCACTGCGTTCATGGCAGTTGGGATTCAAACTCAAACATTTGATGTTCGACATTGTTCTGTATATCCCTTTACTTCATGTCAGTTGTTAGACACACAGACCCAGATAACGCCGACTTTTAGCATGATAATAGGTGTGCGTTTTTAATGCCTCTCAGTATATGTTTATTGTTTCAGAATTATTGCCCACTGTGATCTGTGATAATGACGGAGACTTCACCACAGCCCAAGTCCATGGTGCGGGGAAAGAAGTGGAGCGAGGAGGTGGAGGAGGCTTACCGATTCCAGCTCGCAGGGTACCGTGACGCAGCCGAATACAAGATATTCCACAACACTGACCACGTGAGTTTCTCATCAGGGACAACAGGTGGCCCAGTTGTCTACGGCACCACAACTTGCTGTTCAGAGTTGTGTCCCATAACTGTGCCAGGATCTTATGGTCGGGAGTTTGAATTTCAGATTTGCCTTGATTATGACCTAATGACCTGTCAGCTCCGTACTGGTGCTTGTGGGTGTCACCTCAGTGGTAAACCTCTCTGACGTGCATGACCTGAGAACTTCCCTCAACATTAAGTTGACACGCCGTGATATCACTGTGACAATGTTCAAAGTGGCTATATTATAAAGGGCAAGAAAAGTCAACATAGCAACTTATCAGATTCTAATACTCTAGGGCATACTTATTCACATATGCTTGACATTATTATTCACATAAAATTAACATTGATAAATGGGAATAGTGTAAAACAGACGCTAAAAAATGACAGGCGAAATCATCCCTCAAACAAACAAGTCTGCCACTTAGGGGAATCCCCTTACTGGGGTTAAAACAGGTTCCCCCCGTATGACGCACTGTGCATTTCAAGGATTTGGCTTGCGCCCAGTCTGCCTGCTTATACTTTGGGTTTTTGAATATATATCACATCTTTTTCCTATCTATTCAGGGGCGGTTGGGTAGCCTAGTGGTTAAAGCGTTCGCTCGTCACGCCGAAGACCCGGGTTCGATTCCCGACATGGGTACAATGTGTGAAGCCCATTTCTGGTGTCCCCCGCCGTGATATTGCTGGAATATTGCTAAAAGCGGCTTTAAACCATACTCACTCACTCACTCCTATCTGCTCATCCATTTGATTGCCATGTCAACAACTTATGTCACCTTTGTAACAACACTGAAGATGTTTACTCGGGGGATTAATCGCTGACAGGCATTTCTTGAGAGGAATAGTGAAGTCTCCTGGTGCCTACAGTGACAAATGCCTACAGTGTTATATATATATCTTTATGCATCAGTCACTGTCTCAGCTACTTCCTTCAACCTTGAAATAAAGTGGTATAGACCTTCATTTAATTGTAGAAAAGTGCCTACACAAACAAAACACATTAACACATTTTTCTTCTTTGGAAATTGACTGGATGTATCTTTAAAACTTTATAATAACAATACAATATTTTATCATAATTATTGATAAAGTTATATATATCCTATAGTTATATATAGTTATTGATCTATCTTTCATAATTTTCAGCAACATAACTGCAGCCAGGTCATGTCTGTTTCACAAACTTCACAATCTGGTGTTTCACTTATGTTCGGCTTAAAAAAGCAACTTTTTACATGGAACAGTGTTACATATAATTTTAAACTGCACTTCCTTCACCTTATTGGGGAGTGGAAGATCTGTAATGAAAGCATACCGGGTACATTTATATTTTGCCCATCTATGTCCACACACTTATAACTTATATAAGGCACAGTGATGAATTAAAGTTCAATTTCCTCACGAGGGCTCAGAACACAGTTACCATATTCAAGCGCCCCACTCCACAAGTGCCCATGGCGATATTTGCTAATATATTGGCTTGTGAACAATCCCAATTAGCACCCCTTCGGATTGATCAATGTACACAAGACTTATTCATTCGTGCATAATACACACTCGTGTGTTATATGCACCATTTATTATGGACATTTAAATTCTGGAAAATATGTCTGTTGTGTATAATACGCACAGACTTTTCTTCTGTATCATATTAGGCTGTCAGTATAAACCACAATATTAACGATCTTTCAACTCTGTTTTTTTTTCTGACCAAAACTATATTCTAATAAGAGCCCCCTTTTCTATTTTTGAGAGCGCCCTGGGCGCTTATTACATCAATACGGTAGTTCACTTGGCACAGGTGATCCATAATTAATCCAAGCTTGTAGGTTATTTTCTAATTATTTTGAAAATATTTAAATTAATAATTGACATTGGCTAACTAAAACTGGACAATCTGCTTTTGTATCATTAACAGATTAAGTAGTGGATTCTAATATGGTCGATGGTCAGGCTCGCTGACTTGGTTGATGCATGTTATCGTGTCCAAATTGCATGGATCAATACTCATGATGTCAGTCACTAGATTGTCTGGTCCAGATTTGATTAATTACAGACTGGAATATTGCTGAGTGCGGCGTTAAACAACAAACAAACAATCAAACTTCCTACAGAGGGTAACGCTGAGAACTACATCTGCAAAACCCTGGCATATATGTTATATCTCACACTTAATAGTTATTGTAATCAATGGATATCATTTACTTTACAAGGTAGATATCCAGATCCTAAAAACAGATATCAACCTCATACATAAAATGTTACCAAATATTGTCCTGTGTGCGGTGTTGGTGAAGCTGGGGTGGTAGTTCTGCATCTTCCCGAGGCAAGGGAGTTAACTGACTATAAAAGTCCAGTTTCTACCGTTGCTGAACTCGTTGGAATTTCGAGGCTAGATCATAGCGCCACCAGTGGCTATTATGAGTTATGTCCCTTCTATGTCCCTCCTATTGACCAATCAGATTCCATCTCTCATATCACTTGCATTGCTTCAAACAGGTGCACATTCAAGACGATCTGATCGCTAATCAAGATCTATATTGTCATAAAATGAGTCTTACATGTAAACTGCATCAAATTACTTGTGCTCCTTGCTTAAAAATATGAAAAGATTTGCAACCCAGTTGACGTTGAAACGTTGAAATCCATGTTGTTTATGAACCGGATTTCTAGTTTGTTAGGCTTTTTTGATTGGACTATGAATAGACTTGTTAGTCTAGACAAAATGTAACTCTGGGATTCCAGTCTAGTTTGGCAAGGGTGGAAACTGGACTTTTATAGTCGGACAACTCCCTTGCCTCGGGAAGATGGTAGTTTTCACAGTTTTCGCAGTACACAGTTTGTGGTGATTGCATACATTTGCATTCATTTGGTTAAAACAAAGTTCTTTAAAATGATTTTTTTTCCACTTATCTCATCATGTTTATTCAGGATATCTGTAACGCAATTATTAAATAAATCTTCACTGCTAATTTCTGTACGTGTTATTTCCTGTGCAGGTGGACAGATGGCCACACAATGGCTACGTGAAGAAACTGGTCCGGCGAGACGGCTGCTTCTACTACTACAACAAGGACCGTGAATGTCCTGACAAGGACGTCTCCAAGACAAAGCTCTACCAGTATTAGACATGTGGCAATCTTCATGAAGGCATTGTACAAAGCAAATGCATTGCCGTCCATCGTCCGTCCATCAACCCATCTGTTTATGATGCATGGTGCTTGAACCAAACCCCACATGATGGAACACTTACATTTCACTCTCATTGTCATAAATGGTGAAAGGTGTGATTGGTTGTTGGTTTGATTGACAGATGTCATTCATTCTGTGATATGTACATGTATGCATCTTGGTCGCAGGACCTGCATGTACTGATCTCATTGGAGGTGGTTGTGATGCCGATTGTGACATGCTGTTCTTGCTGACGACGTCCAACAATCCACATTGTATAATATTTGACTTTTGTTTGTGGTATGACTGTGATGTGTTCAAGGGATGTAGCTGAAAGGAGGTGGTTTTTTTTACGAATTTCGCTCTAAAGTAATAATCTTGTATTCAGTCTTATTCATATAAAGATTTCGTGGAAGAATCAACAGCTTCAGAAGATGTAAAGATGTGCAATTAGCAGAGTGACAGGTGCTGTGTTGTTGTTGTCAATCAATTATCAGTCTGCCAAAATTCTTAATACCAAATCAGTCACTTTAACAGGCAATCTTTAAAAAAATGTTTAGTTGCTACTCAAAATGTCCTTGAAATAAAAAAAAAATCAGTTGGAATATAATTCCCTTTTTACCCACCTGTGATAAAATGTACATTCCAATAAACATGAGACTGATGTTAACAATAGTTGTGTTTATTGCTATATACACATCCATACACCCACACATAATCTGATTGATTACAGAAGCCTTTTGATGTTTACTTCGCAATAAGTGGGACTTAACCCAAATACAGGTTACTTGCATTACCAGAGCGTAACTTGGTTGGGTTGTAGTGTTCATTTCTAGTCACAAAAGATAGATGCATGAAGTATAATGTAGTAAAAGATCAAATCTCAACAAAATCAACATTTAAAATGTCAGTCATACATCATCCAATATTAGCATGACAGTTGCCCAAATTGAGGTTGGGTAGCAAAAACAAGCTTTCAACGTAATGGCCAAAGGGCCAACACATCTGGGATCACTCAAGTTCAATTACACGTCGCGTGTAGCATGTATGACCATCCCCTGCTTCAAGACAGGCAAAAACTCTGGTGCACAGTCTGGTGATTTGTTGGTTTGTTGTTTAACGCCACACTCAGCAATATTCCAGCTATATGACGGCGGTCTGTAAATAATCGAGTCTGGACCAGACAATCCAGCGATAAATATCATGATCATCGATCCACGCAATTGGGATCAATGACATGCATCAACCAAGTCAGGGATTTTGACCACCCGATCCTGTTAGTCGCCTTTTACGACAAGCATAGTCACCTTTTACAGCAAGCATGGGTTGCTGAAGACCTATTCTACCCCGGAATCTTCACGGGTCAGTGGTGACGTCCTGTGGGATGCGTCCCCATTCATTTTGGAGGGCCTAGATCAGTTAATTGTCAGTTGACTGGAGGATGTGGTCTCTGTCGAACACGACGTTCCATGACATCCCAGGGTTGTTCAATGGGGACATGTTTGGAGAGCGTGCATGCCACAACAACACGCCGTCAGCTGCAAGTAAGTTCAGTACGATTAGGGCTGTATATGTCTGAAGTTGTCATGCTGATAAGGGACACCACGTGGCAGCTGTTGTAAAAGTGGCAGGACAATCGATTGAAGAATCTCATCCATGTAACGCTGAGCTGTCAAATTTCCTTCAACTATGAACAGTGGTGATCTCTCCTGCCCACAAATTCCTCCCCACACCAGAACACCCACTCCATCATACGGTAAACATGCTGTCTTCCACCACCCTGAACAGACAGAACCGGTTGTCATCAGTGAAGACGACCCCCTGCCAGTCACGTAGCTGTGCTGGATGTACAGTCAGGGCCCATCTCAATCTCTGGCAACGATGTTGCACTGTTAATAACTGCTCTTAGTCAGTTGACTAACCATATACCTTAAGGTATTCGTCGCTGATGACGTCACTGCCAGATATCAGATGAAAAATATGCATGTATTGGTCTTCATTGGGCGTAGTTACCCTGAGTCTGCCTGTTCTTGGCCTGTCTGATGTCTGCCCGGTCTGTCTGTAACGTTGCATCAGATTAGTTACAGCAACACGGGAACAACCAAATCTTTTTTTTCTTTTCTTTTTAAAAAAAAACCCGGGTGTGTGTGGTGGTGGTGGTGGTGGTGGTGTGGCTGACTCCGCCTATGATGGTGAATGGTGAAAAAATAACACAAACCACAAACATAATACGAACAAACATAATTCATGCCGAGAGTGTGAAGCATCTCTGTCCCTGTCAAAGGTTGAGTATTGTAGTACAACGTGTCTGCTCAATCAGGGACAATTACTCCACATGTCCCTTCTAGTATTGTGGCATACCTGCAATAAATTATATAACCTAATCACTTGTTAATATGTTTTCAACCAAAATATCACGACCACCAAATACTACGTTTGTTGCAGAGACAACATAAATTCCTTTGGTGCAAGTACAAGAGAAGTGACTGCGTTTTGTAGAGGTTGAAGCACACATAAAATATTTAAAACAGTGCACGTTCTAAAACGTGTGAGGCTGTTCGAGTACCGACCTGTTCATATTGAAGACTACGTGAACATATTTGTTTTTTTAGAACGTTGTTTGTGAGTGACTGCTGGCGCGGTTTATTGTGTCTGAACGGGTGTTAAAGTGCGGCATGGTATCACAGTGGGCTAGCACTACAAAATCGGCATTAGTCTGGACTATATATTTCACCTCGCCTCAATACTACCACTACCACTATCACTACAACTGCTACTTCTACCGTGACTTGCCATGAAGATTGTGGTTCAGAATAGATTCCAAGCACACCACACCGCATTTGACTTCCCATAGGGATTCCGGCTAAGAACAGATTCCAACCACCCCACACCACATTTGACTTCCGATAGGGATTCCGGCTAAGAACAGATTCCAACCACCCCACACCACATTTGACTTCCCATAGGGATTCCGGAGAAGAACAGATTCCAACCACCCCACACCACATTTGACTTCCCATAGGGATTCCGGCTAAGAACAGGTTCCAACCACCCCTCACCACATTTGACTTCCCATAAGGATTCCGGAGAAGAACAGATTCCAACCACCCCACACAACATTTGACTTCCCATAGGGATTCCGGCTAAGAACAGGTTCCAACCACCCCACACCACATTGACTTCCCATAGGGATTCCGGCTAAGAACAGGTTCCAACCACCCCACACCACATTTGACTTCCCATAGGGATTCCGGCTAAGAACAGGTTCCAACCACCCCTCACCACATTTGACTTCCCATAGGGATTCCGGCTAAGAACAGGTTCCAACCACCCCACACCACATTTGACTTCCCATAGGGATTCCGGAGAAGAACATATTCCAACCACCCCACACCACATTTGACTTCCCATAGGGATTCCGTAGAAGAACAGATTCCAACCACCCCACACCACATTTGACTTCATATAGGGATTCTGGCTAAGAACAGGTTCCAACCACCCCACACCACATTTGACTTCCCATAGGGATTCCGGCTAAGAACAGATTCCAACTACCCCACACCACATTTGACTTCCCATAGGGATTCCGTAGAAGAACAGATTCCAACCACCCCACACCACATTTGACTTCATATAGGGATTCCGGCTAAGAACAGGTTCCAACCACCCCACACCACATTTGACTTCCCATAGGGATTCCGGAGAAGAACATATTCCAACCACCCCACACCACATTTGACTTCCCATAGGGATTCCGTAGAAGAACAGATTCCAACCACCCCACACCACATTTGACTTCATATAGGGATTCTGGCTAAGAACAGGTTCCAACCACCCCACACCACATTTGACTTCCCATAGGGATTCCGGCTAAGAACAGATTCCAACTACCCCACACCCCATTTGACTTCCCATAGGGATTCCGTGACAGAATAGATTCCAGCATAGAGAGTTTGAGAAATTTGATGGTTTTATATTTTCAATGAGGTGGACACGAAATACAAGAAAATGTCATTATTTATTCCACGAGAGTTGTTCAAACTTTAATGGGAGGCCCGGCGATTGGACAACGTGTCACTATTTCCAGATTCGTGTTGTTGTCAGTTTGTATTTCAAGAACATATCTTTCAACCAACATGGTAATCCATTTAGATATACTTGTGAAAGTATTATGAAAATGGATAAAGTTTTAAGCACCTGATTCGACGGGAAGTGTGGCTAATAGAAGTGACGAACACTTTTGTATAAAGTACAGTTTTATCTTGTGTGAAAATGCCGATGTTGTGGAACAAAAAGAGATATAGGAAATATTCCGCCTTTGTATGTTGATGTCCGTAAAACAGCGTCCTCGCGTCCCTCGTGATGTATGTTCGGAAACCCGTTAATCAAGACATTTAATTTGATTCAAATTGTAATGTCTGGACCAGCGATTTTCAAATAAAAACAGTTCCTTCTTATCGTTCACGTCTTTACTCTGTCACGATAAGGCTGAAATATTGCCAATGTGACATTACATCTTAAGTCACTGTAGTCTGTAGTCGGACGTGAACTCAGATAAGCATATTTAAGGCAGGGCAACACATGTGGGTATTCTGAAATGCCAATATAGAATTTCAGGACACAATGGATTTGGTAACTATCAAGTCATATGTAGGAAATTATTTTTAAAAGCATCAAATAATTGAGAGTTTTGGGTTTGAGGCTATTTTAAACAGTGTTTCGAGTTTATCAGTTCAATGTGGGAGACAAGTGACGCAGGTCGTAGGTGATTATTCCTTTGGTGAATCCAACAAGAATGGTTATGGTGCTCACTGTCCAGTGGTAATAACCTGGGTCTGGGATCCGAACGCTTGGCCCCCCGTTGAATACGAGGTTACCTTCAAGTACATGGGTTGTTACCAGGGTTACCTTCAGTATATGGGTTGTTACCAGGTTTACCTTCAGTACATGGGTTGTTACCAGGGTTACCTTCAGTACAAGGGTTGTTACCAGGGTTACCTTCAGTACATGGGTTGTTACCAGGGTTACCTTGAGTATATGGGTTATTACCAGGTTTACCTTCAGTACATGGCGTGTTACCAGGGTTACCTTCAGTACATGCCATGTTACCAGGTTTACCTTCAGAACATTGCGTGTTACCAGGGTTACCTTCAATACATGGCGTGTTACAAGGGTTACCTTCAGTACATGACCTGTTACGGGGGGAACCTTCAGTACATGGCGTGTTACCGGGGTTACCTTCGGTACATGGCGTGTTACCAGTTTTACCTTCAGTACATGGGTTGTTACAAGGGTTACCTTCAGTACATGGGTTGTTACCAGGGTTACCTTCAGAAAAATGGATGTTTCCGACGGTTAACAAGAGTTATATAACACAGGTTCTACCTTTACGCCTTCAGGAAGTTATCTTGTTAGTACGCATCGCCATCAAAATATTAATATCCCGTTGCACTCCTGTCCCCCATCGCCCTTAACTATAACTGTGCATGGTGTATGTCCTAGGACGGAAGTGATAATTTACATTCAGCCTTCGTATATTCATTACATCACCTCGTGCGCTGACCCGTCTTCTGGGAATTGGTCCTGTCTCTGAAACTGATCATGTTCGTTCCAGAATCTTGACTGATAAGAGCTACGTATATATCAGTACGGATGTCACATGACTGTGCA